CTGATGTCTGAAGGTGAGGATCACTGCAGGGTTAACACACACACCTTTATGATTGTTATTTGTGGCCTTTGGCCTGCGGTACACAGTAACTGCAGGATTAAAACACAAAAGGGAAGTAGCAGCGATGCTTCACTCTGCACAGCACTTTTGTCTGGATTGTGGTTTCCTGGAAATGGATTCTTTCTGACTTTTGTAATTGCGTCTTAGCATTTTTTTTTGTTTACTTGGACTTTTTTGTGCGGAAAATGGTTCGTTTTGGTCGTCTGTCATCCTGGCACAGCTGGAACCTGCTGCATGTGGACTCAGAGATTCCTGAGTCACCTTCTCCTGACACAAAACCAACACCAACTGACAGTCAGGTGAGACGTTTGCTGACACGTCAGTGTGCATCGCTAAGACTGATGTTGTAGTTTAAAAAGGTGCTATCTCTCGCTGCTTCTGTTGGCAGTTGAAATAAAATGTTTTAGAGCTGCAATTATTAGAAGATTGAGCGATCAACAGAGAATTAATCTGCAGTAACTTTCTTTTTTGTGCAATATGTTTCTTGGCTTTAGCTTGTCATTCTCACACAAGAGAGAAAAGTGCATTTCTTTTGGTTTTGGATAGTTGGTGGGAAAACAATGTCTCTGTGGGCTGGGGGGAAATTGTAACATGCATTTTTTACACATTTTATAAAAATTAAGCAATTAATCCATAATGAAAATATATGCTAGTTGTTTGTCAATTTAATGTCGTATACAAAGGAGTTAAACCGTTATCCTATCTTATCTCCCTTCTGGTACATCAGAGTTTGAATGTTTCTGTTTGTGTGGGTGATTGTGTATTGTGGTGAAGTGTGATGGTGGCCGGATCTCATTAAATTAGTTACTACAATGTCAAGTAAAAGGAGCATTGATTTGACAACTCTCATCTCTCACAACAGACTGAAAGCTTCTGTTTGCATCACAGTTGCAGCCGTCATCGGTTCTTGGTTATTGGAAATGAACTGGCCTTGAAACACGCAGCATGTGTTGACCACTGGGGGTGATTCTTTTAGCTTCTGTTTCCTGGTTTTGAACACTTGTAATGTGTGTGTGTCTGTGTGCCTGTGTTGGTGTGTGTCCATGTTTTCAGTAAGGTGTTTAATGCAGTTTTTGCATCGTTAATCAACCCACCTGATCAAGGGGAGTTATTATCAGTTGACTAACATAAAGGCAGTAGCGGGGGGGGGGGGTGTTCTTTTTTCTTTGCTGCTCTTTCTTTGTCACCGCTTATTTTAATACAGTCTCTTCCCCTTTAAAGATTTTATCCTTTCCCGGCCAAGGTTAATGCCACAAACCAAGGTGATAAGATAAGACTATGGAGGGAACACAAGTGTTGATATCGTTAACCTGACCGGGTTAGTCGAAGAGAGCTCAGGATCTCGCTGCCCTCTGTCCTGACTGACAGGTTTACACAGGAGGCACAAGTGAAACCCTGTAAACATAATTAGTTAGGCAGATACGTCTAGTGCTGCTTTATGTTTACTATACTTGGGCTAAAGTTATTGTTTCAGTATTATTTATATTTTCACCTCTACAAAGTTTTCAGACTTTTCTGCTAAGGTGGTGTGCTCATGCTTATCTACCAGACATAAGCAGCCTATTTAACTGTGCTGAAACATGCAAGCAAACAAAGGGAATTTCCCGTTTGGCCATTATCGGGGCATTTCTTTCCTTGTTTTGGTCAACTAGCGTGGCATTGTTCAAAGGTCTTCAGGCAAAACAGTGATTTGAGATAGCATAAAGAATAGTGGACCAACTTCAAATAAAAGTAAAGAATGAAGCGTCCTATCCGTTTACCGTCACTCTGTAATTTTCTTGGTTTTACTCGGGTAATTGCTCGAAAAGAAAGCTAATGTTGCAGTGAGTGGTTAGTTTATTTCTACTTCTGAGCAGCCTGTTGAGACTGGCCTAAAGAGCATTTGGCACCTTCAAACACCAGGATGTGTGTGTACTCCCTACAAGCTGTCACCCTGACTCCACCTCCAAATATTCAGATCAGCCTTCCCCCTGTTTTTTTTATTTTTTTTCCCCCACCCCTGCCTCCTCCTTTCTGCCCAACACAATGAGGCAGGATCCTCCTCGTTGCTATGACTTCAGGCCAGTGTCTGTATGAAATGCAACCACTGACTGTTTGGACAGCAGGACAGGACAGGAGATACATCCCATGCTCAAAGAGAAGCTGCAGTCAGGCACGGCAGGACACGGCAGACAGACACCGCTCTTGGTGAGCAACCCCAGACCCTGTCAGCTGGAACGGGACGTTTCAGGACCGCATGAAGTTCAACACAGGTCTCTTGATGATGGTGGAATAACGTGGCAGCATTAACAGTTGTCACTCAGCCTCTCGGACTGATTCGGCATCACAAGTCCTGACGGCGTGGATGCGTCTGTTTACCAGTGGGAGTGGAGAGAGAGAGGAGGCTAGAAATTGAGTGCAGCAGCTGGCTGCAGAATGGGCTGCGATCCATGAATCCAATTGAAGGATTAGGATGGTATTTTTTACTTTTGACATGCCTCTGGCTTCAATGGTGAGCACTGTTAATGTGGTGGGAAACTGCTGGTAGCTTCTCTCCCTGTGTGCTTTTAATTACAACTTCCTAGACTTGTCTTTGTCTTGTCAAACTAGTTTCTTGTTAAAGATATCTTCAACATGTTTGCTTCCTTTAATCGTAACTACAGTGTGTACCACAGTCTGTTTGTTGTTCTTACAGATGATACGCAGAAACACTGTCTGCCCTTTCTGTCTTTATCACATCTGTTTTACATTTCAAACGGTAAAAAGAAAGTTGTCACATACTTAACTCTCCTGGTTTCGGTTTTCCCAGTGGTGTGCTGTCAGTTGCACAAGGTCCAGACTTTCCCGGTTTGTCCATGGAGACTGAACACTTCCTGACACCTGTGTCCTTGACCAGTTGGCCCATATTTTCCCCCTTAAAAAAAACCCTAAATGGGTCCAGGCTCGTTTCCCTTTCACGAAAGCCACTAAATCTGTCCCATTTCCCCTTTCACTCTAGTTTTTTGTTTTAAAGCCACCGTGTCTATTTGCAGTGAAGTCACTCTCTGGTAATCATTTAAAAAAGATAAAAGAACAAAAAGCTGTTTGAAAACCTGTAGGACCCACCACTCAGATTTATTATCTTGTTATGCAACTGTGTATAGACTTGTGTGCCTTTTTACTCTAGTTAAAAAAATCCTAAATGGGAGCCTGCAATTTGACTAGAGCTATTCATAATGTTTACATTTCATTTTGTTACATACACATGCCACAATACTTTGATATGTCCTTATCTGTAGTGTAATGGAAAATCACTTTAAATAGCTGGGATGCACAACCTCAAATGTTTTTCTTTATCCAGTCTGGTTGTTCATACAATTTGTTTTCCATTTATTCAAAGCTTGACTGTCAAAGCTTGACTCCTGTTTTGCCCCCCTTATTGTTACCGTTAAAGTTTGATATTGTCACTAAAAGCTCTATAAAAAACACTCTTCTGTCTGTCCAGCTGCCATTATTCACATGATGGAATAGAGGGGTTGATAAAAGTCTGACAGGCGTACTGCAGGGCTGGAAAAAGTTAATGTGAATTCTTCTGCATGTATTTTGGGATAAAAAAATCATTTAATCTGTATTTTTGTTTACAGTCAATCTTCTGCTAAAAGGACACTAATAGAATTGACGCCCAGTCACAACAACACAACAAGACCGTAAAGGAGAGTCCTTAGTAAAGATGCAAATACAGTACTTTGTCTGTTTACATGTTTTGTGGAGGACTACTGCATATGTGAAAAAAGTAGTAAAAAGCGAGAGCTGTTTGATGTCGGATAAATCTGGGGAAGATGGCAAATTTTAAAAATGAAGGTGGGGAGTGGGCTTACCAGACCTGTGAGGCATGCTCCTAACCTCTGCTTGATGTTAGCAGCTTGAGGCTACCGCTACTGGCGTAACGCACCAAAATCTCTGAAGTGTTGGTGGATATTTCTGGTTCTGCTGCGACAGTCTTGACACTTTTTCTTTCAAACTGTCCATCATGAGTCCGACAAGAATATAGGAGTGCAACGCTAAGTCAGTGGAGTACTCACTTTTTAATTGCGGTCAGTGTATTAATGCAAATAGTATTTCAAATGATTAGATCACCATTCATTTGGAAAGCCATGCAACCAATGTCATTATTCTGATGTATTGATATAGATGTTTGGTTTTTGCAGGGTTTGAGGAATTCTTCTGAAACCAAACTTACACTCTTGATTTTGTGATACCCAACAGCCTCGCAGCATACATGTTTTGATTGCATTGTGTGTGTGTTTGTATGTGTATGTGGGGGGTGATCAGTAAAAGAATTTTGTTGGAATGGTCGGTCAGTTTCACCAACAGTGTCAGTGTCCTGGAATGTGAAGGTCCTTGTCACTGTGTTTGAAGCGGAGGGGGTGTCTGTGGCCTGACTTGCACCGACTCCCCACCAGCAGATTCCTCACTCATAACGGCAAAAACAACTGCTTCCTCAGATACTGAGGTGGCCCCTGTTTGTTTGCTTTGCTGGTGCTCGTAAAGTGGACAGAGATTGCATGAGTGAGGGTGCGTGGCAGGGCCTGCTGACAGGGTGACAATGGGGAACGAACAATGGCCCAGACTCGGGCCGTCTGTTCTTATGGAACAACCTCCCTCCTGCTCCTTCTGATGTAATGAGCATTCACTGCGAGGAAGTGGCAGTCCTTCCCTCTCCTGTTTGTTTCTGATCATAAGGGTGGCTTTAACGGTCGTGCTGATGTCATCCCTCGCAAAGAATTCCCCTCCGATTTCCTGTTTGTCTTTGTCTTTGTATATTTCTCTCTTTCCTTCATTGTCTCTTTCCATCCGTCTGACTGGAAACTTTTGTGCTTCCCCTTGAGATGACAAAATAACTGATGTCAGTCTGTCTTCTATCATTTTCTGTTTCATTTACACTGTGTAAATTTTCTCTCTGTCTGCACTCTGCATTGCAGGGTCAGGCACGACGGAGGAAGAACATGACAGAGTTCCTCGGGGAGACGAATATTCCTACCCCGGATACTCTGGGACAGATCGGTGGCTCTCTGCCTGGCATCGGTGTTGGGCCCGACAGCTGGAAGAACCGCGCTGCCAGCCGCTTCAGTGGCTTCTTCAGCTCCAACGCTGGAGCAGGGTCCTTCGGCAAGGTAACACTGATCAGGCAAAGGTGATCATGTGAAGTGCAAGAGTACTGTTTTAAGTGGTGCACTTTCCCTTGGCTATGAAACAGAAATTCTAAAAGCTGTAGCGGGGCAAGTTTGTTGCCCAGACACTTCTCAGATTAAAAAGAACATTGAAATGCAAACAAAACAGTAGCAAGCAGCAGTGGGAGTTAGTCAGAAGGCCATATCCCCTGAGTCCTGGTGAGGTCATTTCCCTTTAACGTCTCCTAACGTGCTAGCTCACATACTTTCCTCCCAGCAGCTCTGGAAATGAGTAGGTGGAGGAAAAGCCTCCCTCAGTTCTATCCAACTTTTTGTAAACATTAAAAACTCAGCTTACAAAAAAAAGCATAAATAGTACATTTGGGGAAATGTGCTCATTTGCTTTTTTTGCAGCGAGTTAGATGAGAAGATTGATATTTCTCTTGTCTTGTACGCAGTCGGCTAACTTAGCTTAGCATAAAGAGTGGAAACAGGAGGAAACAGCTAGCTTGTCTCTGCTCAAAGGTAAAAAAATCTGCCTTCCGGCACATCGAAGGCTCACTGATTAACGGAAATCCTAAAATGTTGAACCTTTCCTTTACTTATGTATCAGAGGTCTTGAACAATAATAATCAACTGTTATTCTAATAAAGCACACACACACGCCTATACACACATGCTCCCTTTGTATCTTCCCTCCTAAGGTCACATCCTGCACAGTAGCAGATGTCCGATAGAGACAGGATCTGTCAGTCACCTGTCACTGCCTGGCTCATCTCTATTCACCCTGAGTGTCCCCCTTAACCCCCTCAGGGCCAGAGATTCTTCACCAGGCCCTGGACCTTTTGCACCCTCTATATTGTGTGGATGGACCACTGTCAGTCCGTCCTTTCACAAAACTTTGAAAAGGAGTGCTCATTTCTTATCACTTTAATCAATGTGATTTTGTCACTATTAATGAACGTAAAACAGTACTTTATCGAAAGCTTTCGTGAACCATAAACCACTACTCCATCTTCCCCCTCCATGCTGTAGCTTTTGCCCCCACTGCCTGCTCTTCTATTGTTAAAATGGTCTCAATGCACAGAGCTCATTTTCATAACTACATAAGGCCTGCCAGACTGAACAAAGGCCTGAATAGCAGCTACTGTTGGATTTAAGAATTAAGGCGCCAGTAAGGACGGGGTTTACATGCAAATGCGTGGACTCATCTTTACTTACAGTCCCAATGTAACAATAAATCGACACACAAAGGACAGAAATTGAGAGTTATTTTTGCATCTCCTTTCACTGTCATGCCGTTAACCTTGTTCAAACCAATTAGGCTTGTTTACTAAATCGTTTTTGTCTTCTCACAGGAGGTGGACCGTCTGGAACAACTCCAGAACAAGCTCCACTCCTACATGTTGTTCGGCCTGCCAAAGGTGCCGCGGCAGCTATCCTTCCACCATGACTCCTGGGAGGAGGAGGAGGGAGAGACAGACCTGGCCCTGGAGGACAGTTGGCAAATGCTACTGGACAACTCAGAGGTACAGCACACACAGTACCTGTTTCCATCACAGTTAATTTTGTAGTAAGGTCATTGTGAGACTTGTTTTAAAGCCAATATTATTGGTGTGGAGAATGAGGGTTGTTTCATATTAAAAAAAAATTAAAAACAAGAGCCCACACAGAGTAGTCATTTTTTTTTTACCCAGAAAAAGCTGCAATCCTTCCACCAATATTCATCTATGTATATAATAAAATAACATTAATCCAACTTGATTCACCATTAATAACTAAAAGAGGCAAAGCATAAAAATTGTATAAAAATATGTTTTAATTATTAAATTTATTGTTTTTGCATTTAATCTATTTTTGAAAAATACAATAAAATATAGGCTCCTCCCCTGATCACCCCCCCCCCCCATAATCTCCCTTTGCAAAAAGAGAAAATGCATAACCTTCCTATTACGGTAATTTTCACACAGTCCCTTATCAATGCACCCACAATCTGCTTCCTGGTTTGCACCTGTCTCTTACTTCCTTGTAATTTATCTTTGTCACACTTGCCCCGATGCCTGTTGTCCCAGACTGCTTCTTATAAAGAATTTAATTGTTATTGCGTCTGGGAACCGCACGTCTATATAAATTATAACACTCACTGCATACTGTCGTTAGCTTCCACCTGTTAATGTATAAATGACTAATCAGGACAGTAAGATACTACACAGCTGCTGTACAGTCCCACATTCACCTGATAGTTACATAAGACATATTACTGACTTGATTGCTGGCAGTTCCCAGATGAAGTTGGTAATTTGAGCTACTGGAAAATGTAGCAAGTTATTACATATTACATGAATGAAACTAAACCACCAGCGTCTTATAGCACAACAAATTGACCTCATACAAAAATGAATAGCCCACATATAATGTCCCAGGAGCAGTGGAAATTATATATTGTACAAATATACAATTTTAAGAGTATCGTTATTCTTCTTATCAAATCTAACTCTTATACAGTGATGTTTTTAAACAATGTATCTCTCATAAAAGATAGTTAGTTATCATATTTTTCACATTTAAACTCAATCTTAAATAAACAATAAGTTGTCCATTATGCTGTTACAAATCACTGTGCAGCCATAGTATTTCAGTTTACTGAACACATTGATGTCTGTGACACTAGAGGATTATTGTGTCTTTGTTTTATTTTTTTCATGTCATATTTATTTCACACACACACATCATCATTAACTACATGGAAAAAGACCAAAGGTCAACCTGATATTAACAGGTGAGGTGTTAGTACTCTACAGACAGACCTGTACCCTACAGTTTCTCCTATTACAGCTATCAAAATGTGTGCAATGTTAAAATTAAGTCAATTAAAACCATTTGCAGTATATTGCCGTTTAACAATATAACTGAAATTCCTAATTTGTTACCGAATTTGACGTAAAAAATTTGTCCAGCAAAAAAGCCTGGCTCAGATTTCGCTGCAATATAATGCAACATCTTCGGGGAAGGTACTCCATGATGAATGATTGTCACAGCTAACATAATTTAATGAGAACCCTCAAGCGTGTCAGTTTCTTGAAAATGTTTGATTGACCACAGTTCCAATCAGAACTGAGGTGAATGAAATAATAAAATTCAAGATTACTGTAATAGTAAAGTAGAACCTGGGAATATAATTGCTGTATTTAATAAAATGATCTGCGTATGTGTCTGTGTGTGTGTGTGTGTGTGCGCACAGACGTTGACAAGGCGTCAGTTCCACCAGCAGGAGGCGATATGGGAGCTGCTGCAAACAGAGGCTACCTACATAAAGAAACTAAGAGTCATCACTGATGTAAGTGTGAAGAGAACTACTGTAAAGATCATGTACAGATACAAGTCTGACTGTTGTGTAAGATGAACTGGCTTCTGTACTGAGATAGACAGACTCACAATGAACCTCTTGTTGAGATCTAAGAATAGAGGCCGGCCTTTATCACTACTCCGTAAGCTCTACACTAAGAAAAAGACTTGTTTTAACCACAAGGCTGATAACCTTTGGCTAGAAAGGCATTATGTCAGCTTAGTGTCTTAAAAAAAAACCTTTTTTATCACCCTCTACAGCTGTTCCTGTGTGGGCTGCTGAACCTGCAGGAGAGCGGTCTGCTGACAGAAGTGGAGCCTGCCAAGCTGTTCAGCAACATCCAAGAGATTGTCTGCCTACACACATCCCTGTGGAACAAGGTCATGGTGCCTGTCCTGGATAAGGCCAGGAAGGCCCGGGCCCTGATTGACCCCACTGACCTTCACCAGGGCTTCAGGACGGTTAGTTGTAATCACATTGTAAATATAATCCATCGCCACAGGCACCACAAAAAAGGGTTATTAAGAAACCATGGCCTCGTGTACAGCTGTAGTCCTGACCACAAAGCACTGATTAGTTTGTGGCTTTGTTAACCAAATACCCAGGCTAATTAGTCATTTGACCAGCTGATAGTTTACTGTACTGTAGGTCTTATTCAGATCCACTGACCCCAACCAAATCTTTGGAGTGGTCACTGCATAGCTTATAAACTGTTTCGACATAGATAAAATGCTCAATAATGTATAGCCACAAAGCCAAGACAAAAATATTACTGAATACATCAATAAATATTACGGTTAGTGAAATAACTGAAATGAAGTCTTAAAGATTAACAGAATACTTTCCTTAAACCTTCATTCATTTGCTAGGAATAGAGATTTGATATTATTTAGTCTCCTTTTTATCTCTTACTAGCTCATTTTGTTTTTCATCTCCTTAGTTTTTTCCATTAATTTTGTCATAGTACATGTTTAATTCATTAAGTACTAAAACTCAGCTAAAATTCAATGAGAATTATTGTACTTTTTACTCCACTACATTCAGCTATAGTTACTAGCTACTTTGCAGATTAAGGTTTTATATACAAACTAATGCTCACTTTATAAAATATGATGCATTCCCATAGATTACACTACCAAACACCACTTACACAAGTGTATTATGTATCGATTTATTCTGTGATATTTTTGATTTGTACATTAATATGAGCCAGCACCCAGAATACCTTGTACTTACGTAAATACACTGTTTAGACAGACTTTCTCTTCACTGTATTTCTTATGAAATAATTCCAGAAAACAACTTTTTGCATCTAATAAAGCGTTTGCTTGTGACCAAGGCTGAAGCAAAATATGTTTTCCCTCATGTTGATGTTAGTAATATCTCTGACGCACGTCTTTGTTTATGTGTGTGGGTTCAGTTTGGCACCAGGTTCCAGCCCTACATCCGCTACTGCATGGAGGAGGAGGGCTGCATGGAGTACATGCGCACGCTTCACAGGGATAACGAGCTCTTCAGAACATACGTCACAGTCAGTTCTCTCTGCCCTCTCGCCTTAAAGCTAATTGCACATAACTACAGTACTGATACTGATATATTTCTGACTGATTAAATGTTTTATTTCCTGCCTTTGTCAGTGGGGAGAGACCCATAAGCAGTGTAACCGTCTGAAGCTGGCTGACATGTTGGCAAAACCTCATCAGAGACTGACCAAATATCCACTTCTACTGAAAAGTGTTCTCAAGAAAACGGATGAGCCGTCAGCCCGCGACATTGTCAACAGCATGGTAAGGATGTAGAACAATTGATAACGTGTGCTCTTTTTCTGATTTATACTGATGGAAAAATGCCTGACAATGTGTGTATTGCTGTGTTTGTCCTCCTAAAGGTGGCCACAGTAGAGGGCTTCATCAACAGCGTGGACTCCCAGATGAGACAGCGTCAGGAACAACAGAAGCTGGCCACCATTTCTGCCCGTATAGACTCCTACGAGGCTGTAGAGGGCAGCAGTGAAGAGGTGGAGAAGGTAAGAAACCATTTACGGGGCCCCAGTACTTCAAAAAAGAAAGATCTGATAGATTTAACATATCGCTTTCATGCTTTTGTCTTTTCCCTTTCAGATCCTCAAGGAGTACAACTGCTTCGACCTCATGGCTCCCATGAGAGGAATATCACCGGAGGAGACACGACAGCTGCATCTCGAGGGAGCACTGAAGATGAAAGAGGGCAAAGACAGTCGGGTAAGACTGACTCACAAGCCCGCTTGTAAACACACCAGCTCTTATCTTTATACTCAACAGCTTGTTTCTTACGTTTGCTCTGCAGCCACCTCGCATTTCACATAAAATGGTAATAGACCATAAAACAAAATGAAATGTGTTTCTGTCAGATCTGAGATGAGTTTTTCCCCCTCTCTATAGATGGATGTCTATTGTGTCCTGTTCACTGACCTGCTGATAATTACCAAGCCAGTGAAAAGAGTGGAGAAAGTCAAAATCATCCGCCAGCCTCTCCTCATTGACAATGTCGTCTGTAAGGAGCTCAAAGATCCTGGTGAGTTTGATGGTCGATGTTGTCTGTTAAAGAAAATCAGGAAATCTTTTCAAATTTTCAAAATCATTTGAGAAGGTATAACCAGCGAATATCTAAGATTTAACTGATTATTGACCTACTGGATTTGTGAACTAATTGTTTGAGCTAGAATTTAAAGCTACTGAATGTTAAATCATGTAGAACTCAGAGACCACTGATGAACTACTATAAAAATTCTCTGCAGACATTAAACTGGATAATTAGCTATAACTTAATACTGAATGTTTGTGCTTTTTGTCTGGTAGGCTCATTCATCCTCATCTACCTCAATGAGTTTAAGAGTGCAGTGGCAGCTTACACTTTCCAAGCCAACAGCGCCGCCCAGGGGCGAAGCTGGGTCGATGCAATCTGCAATGTCCAGGTTGGAGAGCCAGTTAATATATTTTTAAATGTTTTGCACATGGAGCCCAGAATTACAATTCAGAGACATCATTTTGCAGTTTGCATACTTAATGTGGCTGTATAATTACACTGCAGAACCAGCTCCAGAGGCTCCGCTCTGAGGAGGACAGAAGAAGGCAGAAGAAGAGTCTGAAGAGATGTACGGAAGGTGAGGAAGATGAGGAGGATGCAGATGAGAGCAGCAACTCCACTACAAGTTCCCCATGCTTGAGGCACAAAGACCAGCAGAACTCAAGGTATTACAGTGTACAACTCAGGTGTGATAAAGTGATAATTCAAAAAAGAAAAATAGAAAAATGCAACTGTAAATGTAATCATTCAAAAGTAGCAAATTACACCCAATTACTTGTTTATTGACAAAATTTAAACACAAATGGAATCGTGTTGTGGTCAAAAGATGAGCTATAAAAATTTAAATCTGGCAACCACACAGTGATGATGATACTCCAGAATATCAGTGCTCCTGACCTAGAAACAGCTCGGTACATAACTCCTAGTAAAACCACTTTAAAACAACATTTTGTCTTTACACAAGATCTAACATGTTATTTAGTGAGCTTAAGAGGTGCTGGTTGGTAGATTGTGTTACCTATGGGCAGACCAGGCTAACTGTTTCTCCCTGTTTCTGGTCCTAATGCTAAGCTAAGCTAACCAGCTGCTGGCTATAGAGAGTGGTAATGATCTTCTCATCTAAGTCTTGGCAAGACATCAAATTAGCGTATTTCCCAAAATGTTGAACTTTTCTTTTTGAGGAAGAAAAATAGATGCCTGCAAGTGCAAATGTAATTTCATCATTTATATTAAAAAAGTACAAAACACACACCTGGAGCTCCATTCATACTTATTTTCTTGATGAGTTTAAACCTCATTCAACTCATGTTCTGGTCAAAGGATCAGCTAGAAAGACTGAAATCCACACTGTCTTGGAATTAAGTATGTGATAAATGTATCTTCAGTTCAGCAGATGTTACTCCTTATACACTTTTTATCATTAGCTCGTTGTTGTTGTAAGCCTAACCATTCAATTAATCAACCAAATGTCTTCTTTCAGTCAATCAGATGGTTCCACTGAGACCCTGTCGGTGATGGACATTGCCCCCAACATGAACCTCGAGGGAGACACTAATAAAGGCTCAGACTCCGATGTGGCTCCCTTGTCTGAAAGGTCTGATGTCCAGCAGTCTCAGTCCACAAGCCCCCACGGAGTTCACTCCAATGTTTACTTTGAGCACGATCAGGAGATGGGGACTGATGGTGAGCAGCTGGACCCCACATGTCGCTCTCTCTCCATGGATAGCGCCTACGGTACCCTTTCCCCCGAGTCCCTCATGAGAGAACTTCAGCCACAGCCCGGCCAAAGTGAAGAAGAGGAGACTGAGGAGGAAGAGGGAGACAGGGAGGGTGGGGAGGCAGAGAAGGAAGAGGAAGCAATAGAGGAGGTAGAAAAAGAGCAGGAGGAAGAAGAGGAAGATGATGCTACCTCCTCAGTGGGTTCCCAGCTTTCAGTAGTCCAGTCTTCTAAACCTCGCCGGCGGCCTCATGTACAGTCACGACTCCACTGCCTCAAGAGGCTGTCCACTCTGGCCTTGTCCCGCTCTGAGGATAATCTGCTGCAGCGCATCTGTGGAAAAAACACCATATTCCACACACAGTCACTAAGCTCTAAGGCACCGGACATGAACGCATCACCTCTGGCACACAGTAAAAGCCTGTCAGAGCTGAGCCAAAACTGCATGGAGCTATTGTCCAGCGACCTCGACCAGTCAGATGACTGCTTGAGCATGAGCATGCCCACTGAAAAACTCTGTGCCACCTTGAGGCGGGTGCAGGCCAGGCAAGGCTCCACGGCGCCCGCCGGACCGTTTGAGAATAACGAGTCCCAAAGTAACAGCTCAGACGGGGAAATGGCTCCACCTGCCTGCGTTGATCAGAAGAATTCGGGGGAAATGTCTCCTAAAAAGAGGAAATCACCAACCCAGCAGCACAAGAAGTTGACACTGGCTCAGCTGTATAGGATACGCACCACTCTTGTCCTCAACTCCACACTCACTGCATCGTAAGTCATCAGTTCTGTAATACCAGTTTATGGGTTTACTACATTTAAATGAGCAGTTTGACACTTTGAGAATAGACTTTTTAATTTACTTTACTTTTAATTGAAATTTTCTTGCCAAGTTAGATGAGAAGAGCGATACAACACACTTGTCTGTAGTAAATATGAAGCCTAGTTAGCTTAGCTTAGCATTAATACTGAAACAGGCAGGGAAACCGCTAGCTTGTAGCAAAATCTTCCTAATCCAAGGCTCCAGGAAGTAACTGTGCATTGCCAAGAGATATTCCGGCAGGAAACACTTATTTGTACATAGTAAACAAACAAGATACTTTATAACATGTTAATTGGTGAGCTGTAGAGGCTGGTAGGTGGATTTTCTTACATTTTGGACAGGCAAGCTGTTGCTCCTATGTTTGGTCTTTGTGCTAAGATATACTACATTCTACACGCTTTTATCCAAAGCGACTTACAATTACTATACTGTACATGTCAGAGGACGCACGCCTCTGGAGCAACTAGGGGGGGTTGGTGGGTCACAGTGGGGAGTTGGAACACGGGTCTCCCACACCAAAGCCATGCATCTTATCCACTGCCCCATCACCACCCCGTGTGATAAGATAAGATAAGCTAAGATAAGATAAGCTAAGCGGCTGCTGACTGTAGCCTAATATGTAGTGTAAAAACATGAGTGGAATCAACCTTCTCTTTTAAAACTTGGCAAGAAAACATTCCTTTTATACTTTATAATTATATTGAGTTTGGTTCTAGGTATAGTATTCATTTTACTTGAGAGAATGTGTATATTAATGTTGTTTTTTGTCCTTTTTGTTATTTCCAGGGAGGTATAACCACTGTTCCAAATCGTTGACCAGTGGCATGTGGGCATAATAAGGAATAACACTTGTTTTGCATCGATGGGCTGAATTTCTTGAGACACAAATGCACTCTCTCTTGCTGCCTTCTCCCTTCCTGATGCTTTTTGGACACTGATCGTACAATTTTGGCATTTGAACAATAACAATCCTTTTTTGCGTTGGTTTTCCCGAATTTCTTGAGTGGAAGGGAGAGGCAGAGAGACATTAAATGCTTGCACTTTGCAACGGAAGTAGCATTATGGGGGCTGGGACCTTTTATTAGGGTGGACTGGGGGTGTGTGCGAGGTGTGGAAGTGCTGCCCTCTGCAGAGAGAGGAGACATCCAGGCGGAGGTCTTACCTCATCCCTGCACTCTGCACTGGAGAGGAGGTGGAGCTGTATCTTGTATCTTCTCCCTCTCTGTTACCAGAGTGAAAAAGACGGATACAAAGTCTTCAAAATGCTCTCTACACACGGCAAAAAAAAAACAAAAAAACCAACCCAGCACCTAGGATGTCATCCTAATATTTGTACTACTCCTGGTTTGCTACTACAAAAGAAAAAAAAAGAAAATTGCACAGTTATCTATGTTTGGTAGAAGAATCATTAAGGAGTGAATTTACATTTACAGTCACACAGTGAATTTGAATTTATTATTTGCTGTCTGCTTGTGTACAGATGTGTGTGTGGACGTGTGAATGAATGTCTGTCTGTGTTCGAATGATACATGGTCCTCGATTCCTGACTGAACCAAAACTGAGTCACATCTCCTGTGAATGTGCTAACACGCCCAAAGATAGAAGACGTGAGTAGCCGGTGGATTACCAACAAAAAGTGCACCCAAAGGTCCAATACTAGCCAATCATGTTTTCAGCTCATAAAACAGCTGCGTCACCACACAGACGGACTTCCTTCTTTACTGTTAATCTTTGGCATGTGGAACTCATGAGAATGAGTTGATTGTGGAATTTCCTGCACTATATATAATGGGGCTTGAGTGTGCACTCCCTCTGGAGGCCTAAATGTATCAAAACCACAAGCAAGAACATGGTCATAGGAAAATCAAGAAGTCTACACTTGAGTAATCCCTGTGTTGGAGCACCTTTTTCTCTGAGACATTTCATTTCCTGTGTTTCTTTATTATGGTAACACTAATAATTGATTGAACAAAAGATTTGGGTTGAATATTCTGTAATGAGTGAATTTGCAGAGCTAGCTTTAGTTGAACGCAGCTCCCCCCCACCCCCCCGGAAACTGAAAAATTTAACCACCAGAGAGACTTAACATTCACACTTGATGTTCAGTGATTTATAACCGTACTCCAAACATTGCCCAAACCAAATTGGTTAACTCTTGTTTACTTTACTTTTTTGTTTATGTGTAATATTTATTATGCCTGCTATGTTTTATATATAAGATATTGTTTATATTGTTTGCTTCCATGATGTGTACATTCTTTTGTTATGTAGTCTTAATAATGTTTTTCTTGCCAGGCATGAATGTGTTATGAACCAAAATCACATGTTTTCCTCTTTCAGGAATGACTTTAAAGTGTCTTACAAAATAAATGCTAAAATACAATCCCTCTTTTAATGGTTTAATCCGTTGTAATGGAGCAATTTGAGGGGAAAGGTTAAATCCGAATGGCGTCACATTAAAACAATATAAACTGGTCGTTCTGTTCTCCTCCCTCGTGTTTTTAACGCAGATAGACAGCAGGTGGCGAAAGAATGTGTTTGGGGAGGTGAAGAAGAATTACAGCAGAGAGGTCGTGACAGTGTGTGGCAGTAATTCATTACATCATCTATGTTTTTATGTCATGATGTTAAGCCGAACCTGTTGCTTTGAGCAGTGAGTGTAAAACAGGACCAGTTTTCAAAGCAGGCCTGCACTGGAGGAAGGAAGTACTGAGATATTTTACTTAAGTAAAAGTAACAATAACACACTATAAAAATACTCCATTATAAGTAAAAGTCTGCATTCATAATATACGTTATACAAGTAGTACAAAATGTACTTACTTAAAAGTACATTAGGTGGCTATAAGCAGCATGCATTTTAAGAGCTAATTTTAACTGTATACTTGTGGATAGTTCAGTCTATAAATGCATCTTGATCAGAAACAATTAGTCAGTTCATCAATAACTTTGCAAGCAAACTTCTGTGACTTATGTGAGGATTTGATGCTTGTCTCTATAAACTGAACATATTGTGCATTTTCAGACCACATCATTAATGGTCAGATTGAATGATTATAAAAATGATCATTAGTTGCAGTCCTAAATGCATCATATTTCAGAATATGCATCAAATATGGATCTTTAAAGTAACAAGTATAGCTGTCAAATAAATGTAATGGAGTAAAATGTACTATATTTCTCTCTGAAACGTAGTAGAGTTGAACTACTGTATAAAGTAGCTTTAAAATGGAAGTACAGTACTTGAGTAAATGTACTTTCCTCTTCTGGAGGAGGGTGATTTTAATACATCCATATTTACGAAGGTGGACTGAAGTAAATTTATTACGTCAGTGTATTTTTAAAGGTACGGTCACTTGATTTTGTATTTCCGTTCTATGCTACTTTATACTTCTACAGTACTACATTTCAGAGTGAAATTATAGTACTTTTTATACCACTACATTTATCTGGCAGCTATAGTTACTTTGCAGGTTAAGGTTTTAGCATACAAAGCTTGAGATCAGGTATAATCAGCTCTATTAATACAATTAATAGATGATTAAATACCCATATAGGTTAAACAGTTATATATCTATAACATATCAGTCATAATAATCCAAAAGTATGATGTATAATAACGCTAATACCATTGTGAAAGAGGCCATTAAATCTGATAAGACTTTTACTTTTGATACCTTAAGAACATTTTGTGATACTTGCTTGTAATGGAGTAGTTTTGCAACTTTTAAGGAAACTATCTTCAATCAATCAATCTTTATCTGTATGGCAATTTTCATACAAAAGCCATGTAACACAAAGTGCTTCACATTATAAAAACAAAGACAAGGACAATAATGCCACCCCAACCCCCTCTACACACACACACACACACACACACACACACACACACACACACAGATTTAAAGTAAAAGACAATAAAAACATGAGGTGAGGAAACACTCATGAATGGACACTACCAGCATAAAATTCAAATTTACAATGAGTTGCATTGCAGATTCAAGCATATATTTAGATTAGTTAAGTCTGACTCTAGTTTTTTACATTTTTTTTCCAGAACTGTGCACTTCTTATAGTGGGTCCCATCTTATTGTGGTTGAGGAAGTATTCAATCGTTTTACTTCAGTAAACGTAGAAATACAGCGATGTAAAATATACTCAGGTAAAAGTCAAAAGTGTTAGCAGCAAAATGTACTTAAAGTATCAAAAGTAAAAGTACTCATTATGCAGAGTGACCCCTTCTAGAGCGGTATACTGTCATATCATTGTATTAATATTGTTAATGCATTCATGTGTAAGCAACATTTTAATGTTATAGCTGGTCAAGTTGGAGATAATTGTGTCTATTTTATATTCTGTTATAAAGTGAATCTATTTAAATGCATTGTGCTTTTTAAGCTCTGAATATGTCTTGTATGTTACAATTTGTATTAATATTTAAGTATAGGTGTCAAATAAATGTAGTGGAGTAAAAATACAATATTTCCCTATGAACTGCAGTGGAGCAGAAGTAGTAGATGATAGAAATATTACCTCAAAATTGCAGTACTTGAGTAAACATATAGTACCACTTCTAACACTCCTTTAATAATCCCTGTTGGAAGTACCAAAGTGCTGTTTCAAAAAACTTAAGCCAGAATTATTTAGGGTTACTTGGAGTTAAACAGCATTCATCTGTTCAGTTTAGTTTCTGGGAACTCCCTCAGCTCACATATCTTGTCCAGCTGTCTGTCTGGTCCGACTGTCTGCTTCTGGTTCCCAGAAAGTTCCCGAGTGAAATCTAACCCGCCTCGATGACAAAAGTGTTCAGCACACACGTGCGAACAGTGGGACGTCATGGAGGGCAGAGCAGGGCTTGATGGGCAGCTGTAACATCATGGCCAAGGTGTATTTACAGGTGATTATATCAGCTAATCGGTGGATTACAGCATGTTGAATCCACACAAGCCTCTAAACTGCAGAGAAAAGAGTCCTGTGGGATTTTCATTTTAATCTGGTCCCAGAACGAGGCGGCCCCTCCCGCTCTCACATCTGGCCTGTCAGGATTTACTGTTGTAATCCTTGATTTTAAAACAAATTTATTATGCTTTATCGCTGATACGCTGGACTTTAATTATTAAAATGCAGCTTTCTATTTTAGCAATGAAGTAATTACACATGTCTGTCCTATTAGCCTTTACTAAGTAAGTAATCAGGTTGTGCCATAGGCTGTATAGCTGTGGCAGCATGAACGCTGCAGGCCAGCTGCATCCCATAGATTATATTCAAGTATGTGATGTTATGTCTAACAGGTGCATTTCACCTCTCTTTTCTCTCTCCCCTGGACTAATCCTTGTTAAAAAAAAAAACACAACACTTGATAATACTTGAGTGCATATGTAAAATGTTCACACTTTGCATCCTCTCTGTCTACGTATGCACCTTGTGTTCTGTGCGCTCTGCATGAGGTCCACTGGATATGTGCATCGCATGCAGCTGGGGCAGTGGAGGGGTTAACACCACCTGCTGTGGCAGATGTCAAAAACCATGCTGTAAAAAATGTCCGATTAACACAAAGGGGCACTTTGAAAAATCCTGATTATAGGAGCACTTTCATTTATTAAACTCTGCCAATCCCCTGTACTCTTTTTGAGCGGGGATTAAAACCAGGTAGACACCATTGTCTATCTAAACAATCCCTATTTAAGCTCTAGCTGTTTCCTGGTGCCCCGGCCAGGCCTGGCTGGCTGGCTGGCTGGTCGCCTGCCTGTAATCTCAGTAGGGGCTTATAGGTCACTACAACCACTACACATTCCCATTCATCAACATCATCCCCTTTACAGGGACTAGGTGATTGGATTTAGGACATGTTTTACAGGGGCAGAAAAAAACAGAACAGTGAACTAAGTCGTGTTTACAAGAGCTGTGCTGTGAAAAGGCAAGTGGACGAGTGGCAGCCATATGGAATGGATAACCCTGTGAACATCTGCCCTCGATCAGTACCACGCACTGCCATTTGACCGGTGGCTTTGACCTCCACATGGTGTGCGGGAACATCTGGCCCTTTTTCTGCTCTCATGAACTGCTGAAAACAGCAGTAAGCAGACAGGTAACTGCAGAGAAAACAACAAATAAATTATTATGTTTTATTTATGTTTTATTATAGGTTAGAAAAAGATATTTCCCCAAGGGGAATCCACAAGCTACCTAGCAGTATATAAAGTAACCAAAATAAACCACACCTTTACCAGTTGCAACATTAAAGTAATGAACACATTAATGTATCAATAATTATGATCCAATAATATAATATACATGATTCTAAAAGGGGCCATTCTGCATAATAAGTACTTTTGCTAATTAGGGATCCAATCAGCAAAGTTGCTGTAGCCCTATTGTCTTTCTTTCTTTCTTTTTCTGCTAAAAGTGTTTGGGCAGCAAAAACTGGCTAGATCATCTACGGACAGCGCTGATCAAAAGTTATTAAAAGAATTTTGATACATTAATTTGTTTTTTTCATAAATTTTTACTTTTGTGTCTTTACGTGCAATTTTACACAAATTACCATAAATCAAAATTGGCAAAAGTTGTTGTAACCAAACTTTACACATCTGTTCAGATGCTCGGTCCGAGCTTCCCTGGGATATTCTTCCACTAGGGGGCACTACACTTGCAAAAAGTTTATATCTTGTAATTCCCTGCAATTCGTACAAAATTTGGTTTGTGTAATCTAAGGTCACTACTCAGTTGATGCATAAAATTTGTTATTTGTTATTTCTTATTACAAGAAATGTAAATTTCCAGACATTTCTCATTCCAAACTTCAAAAAAATCTAAGAAAATCACCCGTAAGTCCTAGAGAGCTGAAATTATTTCAGCACATACACTGATATGTGACAAACGTTTGCCTCACTGCAACCTATGGTAAATTCAGAAGACAGTCACTCTGTGTTTTACAGAATATGCTAAATCAACTAAAATCTATATCTCCATAAATCTTTCTTAAAATGTTACCAAAGTCAACACAGACATTCTCTGGATGGCCGATATCAAGTGTTTCAAAGGATTTTTAGATCGGTCAAATGGTGAGTCTACAGTGATATTCAGTATCTTGCTAAAACATTTTCTTTTTTGCTCAGTTTCAGATACAATGCAACCAAAATAACTGACAACACACCCAAAACCACAGAATGATGTGTGATTTTTTTCAGAATTTTCTCACCAATATTTTGACTGTTGTAAGCATTTTAATTTTAAACTGACAAAACTATCCATGTCTGGCACATCACTTCCTCAACTTATGATATCACTTCCTCAACTTGTGAGAAGGTGTGTGTAAACAACCTCTCACCAGTAGCTCAGTCAGTAAGTCCCCTACTCTGGAGATCTGAAGTTCTAGAGTTCAAATCCTCAGGTGACCAAGTCAGACTTGCTGACACTTGGGGTGAACAGATCATGAGTGAGTCTAAGTTCTCTATTTTATTTGGATCGAGTGACACTTTTTTCTTATTTTTCTCTGCTAAAAAGTGTTTGTGCAGCTTAAACATTAAACCTTGAAAACACAAAATGTTGCAGGTGGCTTGAACATTTCATCCAGTAGTCAGGTACATATGACACTCTCTGATCTCAAGGTTATGTTGTAAAAATCAAGTTTGCGTTTCCGCAATTAACTCAAAGTCCAGTTTCTCTCATCACTTTAATCTCTCAAGTCATCTGCATCTGTTCTTCTCTTATATTCAATATAAATATTCAATTTTTCACGACTTGCTTGGAACCCGATCATTGCCGCTATATTTAAATTAAATTTTGATGCTTTTACTTTTACATGTTACAGCATTTCTAAATGTTTCTAAAGCTTTGAGTATTTGCTCCACCACTGAATAAGACGAAAACAGAAATTGGACTTCTACCTTAAAACTGCAAGTGCACAATTGTTTCGTTTCGAGTAGTACATTAATATTGGACGTTCACAAGCACACACTTTAGGTATGGCTTTTTCACAAATGTAATAAGTAGTGTACTGAAAGACAAATATCAGTGGAAACCGCCCCCCACAGATTATAGAGAGGTGAATTAGTGAACTAATTATTCAAATTCCTAGACTTCAGAATAAAGGCACCATTATTTTGTAATGCAATTCATACTTTCAACTTCACCATTTAAAATGAAAAAATAATCACACAAAAAATACTTTCTCTGAGCAATTAACATAACATTGAAATATTGATAAAAACAGTGAGTATTCATCAACATTCCTGTCACCAAAAGCACACCCATGCTTTACAGGCCTGTAGATTGACAACGGAACATCCCACAGTGATGGGGGGCTCAATCCGGCTTGAGCAGACCTTCCATTTGGTACCCTGCATGTCTATGTATCTCGGTGGGTTTTGGAGTTAAAACGGCGGGAAAAAAAAAAGTCAATCAGTAATTTCGCCCAAACAGTTGCCCCCGGTACCGGGTTTTGATTTGGATCTCATAGGTCTGTTTAGTGACCAAGATACATACTAAGTGAGATATTTTAGATTTGAAAAAAAAATATGCATATACACCCATGTATCTGCTATGAGCTAATATAATATATTTATCAGTGTTGCTGTTAATTAACATTCTGAAATGCCCATTTAGGGTTAACTCACTTAAAAGCATCACTCAGGTTATTGCACTATTGCTACATCTTTCAGTGGAGTAACTAATTACATTCACTCAAGCACTGATATTAAGTAGCCTACTATTTCGAGGTACTCATGCTTACTTGAGTGTTTCCATTTTATGTTACTCCACAACATTTCAGGCAAACGTTGTCCTTTTTACTTCTCTACATTTATCTACCAGGTGTAAGGACTAGTTACTTTTCTGGTTAAGGTTGTACATAAAAAAACAAATAATGATTAGCTTACACAATGCAACACATTGTTAAAGATAAACAACAGTGTTTGAAAATCTTTCTTCTTTTATTCCCCCCTTTAAACTTCTCACATGGTTTAACTTTATCTATTTGGGGCCCAATCAGTTAAAAGATTACAGAAACATCAAAGGTGTAGTAGAACCTTTTGTAACCTTTTAGAGAAAGCTCAAACTCCTAGGTTGGGAACCACCGGACTAACTGTATCTAAAGTAGATCAATTACCCCCACCCAAACCAGCTATAATAGTAAAATGCCATTGATGCTTTATTATAAACAATCAAATAATGTAATATGCTGTATATATCAGTCACTCACAATCTGCAATTTTCTGCAGAATGAGAACTATTTCTTTAGGTAAAAGTAGCAGTTAATACGTTATTTTTTTTGTTGCATTTGTGACATTTTTTGCATTTTTTATGTTATTACTTTTAAACAAGTAAAATATCTGACTACTTCTTCTGTCACAGGTCAGTTTGGATGCCTTGACAAAATGAATCACGGCTGATGATCTCTCTTGTTTTTTCTTCTGGCCACACAATACCTCACAGCCGTAACAAGGTGATAATGTATTGCCAGCTGCTCCCTGGCATAAATTCATCCCACAAAGACGTGGCATATGCTAGAGGATCAAATGTCTTTATCCTCATGAAAGTTGTGTTGTTTTCTAAATTGAAAGAGCATAAGGTCCCACTTTCATGCGACAATATAAACTCCTCACCTCAATAATTGTATCAGCTTATAAGAAGCTTACTGTAATTACAATATTGTCTTCTTGGGGCCGCAGCCTAAAACATGAAATACAAATCACCCATTTCAAAATTAAATGGAAACTCGTTCAAAGAGAAGCTATACTAGAGGACAGAGGGATTAACGTGTAAGTCCGGCACATTTAATATTTACTGCACAGTCACACAATTAATCTGACAATGTGTTCTGTGTCTAATACCTGAACTGATGGGCCCTCCACCATTATCAGTTGTGTGCATATGGGGCGGGGTTAGCGGGAGTGGGGGCTGTTTACTTGTGATCCAAATGCAACCCATCATGCAAAATGGAATATCTGCACCAAAAACAACTTTCACTTTTGAAAGTAGTTTGATTTGTCTAGCTTAAATGTGGTAACTGTGGTTTAGGATGAATGAATGAATTCATTATTATGAATGAATGAATTATTATATTATTTGCATTATTGTTTCATATTACAGGGCACAGTACACATTTTCAAACCAAGAAAGTCCAAAAGTAGAACAACAGCTACAGCATCTTTCATGGTCCAATCTTCAGACCATCACAACAGCAAAATTCATAAATCACTGACAGAAACATTTGCTGTGTAGCACTGAAAAAATATGAATAAATATTAATAAAATAATCCATTTCGCCCTCTTTTCCATGCTTAATTTGGCAAACTTAAACACATCAAAATCAAACAGCTATTCCAATTTTACCCATCTCTAGGCCTACACCAGAACATTTCAGGGGTTTGTCAAGCCGGTTCAAGGAATAAAAATAATCATCATATTAACGGAAATGGGACTCACTTTGCACCCAAATCACATAGCTCACGCAATAGTTTTTAACCAACCTCAAGGCCATAAGAAGAACCAAGCTCTCACCTGTGTAAATAAAGATATTTGGCTTCTACATAAATGACATGTATGATTCAGGGCCAAATTTGTATGCATATATGTCCACATATGATGGAATATGTTCAAACCATTTTTCTTCAAACTTCAGTAAGAGCTTCTTTTTTAAAGAATTTAACATTTAACAACATACATTATTCAGTAGATATGCAGCATTTCCTCCTCCTCATAGATTGAATAAAGCTCCTTTGTACAGTTTAAAACTGTATGACTTACTCCAAAACAAAAAAACCTTCTTAGTCATTCTATCCTCTGCCACTTGGATTAGATTGATCCTGGTACCTAGCTGATGTCGACCCTGAATTGCCAGAATGTTTCACACTTGGATTGTAACACATAAGATTGGGGGTGCTGGCACCTAAAATTACAAAAGAGAACCTCATAATGGGGTCATGTGCCAAACCCTGCCCTAAATGTATGCAATTTAGCCAACCAGACATAACAGGGAGAACTTGTGACATTCTATCCTCCAAAGTGTTGTCTTGATGAAGAAACAATAGATAGACAGTAAAGTCATTTAGCCATGTTTTAATCAGATGCTTCTGTTTTACAACTTTGAAAAGTTATCATGATGACAATACTTACATCTTTTGTCTTAGCGATTGCAAACTACACAGAGGAATTTCGCTAGGGCTGCGGCAAAAGATTTTTTTTTACTAGGCCTAGTAAGTGTGGCACAAATTGCTGCTTACAGTTATACGAATGTATGTACGTATGAGTATTTTTTCATTGTGTTATTGCTATATCTTTTCATTTCTTCTTTTCTATTTCTTCCGCAACTTTCCGATCCTTTACTAACAATCATTATTTTAGTAAAATGACCTTAAAATATTAAAAACAAAAGTATGCAGAATGGCCCCTTTCATTGTTATGTTATTAGAGCTTATTCATATACTGTTAGGGTAGTTGAATATACAAAGCGGATCATGGTTATTTTTATCTGATTCTGCAAAGTTACTTGTTACTAAAGCTGTTAATAAATGTAGTGAAGTAAAAAGTGCAATATTTTGCTCTGAAATGTAGTAGACCAAAGTAGTAGATAATAGAAATACTCAAAGTACAAGTACCTCACAATTACACTTAGGTAGGTCTATAGAAAGGCTAGAATGGAAATATTCTTTAGTAAATGTACCTACTCCACTACATTTATTTGATAGCTTCGGTTGCCAGTTCAGTTGCAGATTCAGAATAATAATACTAAATAAAATCAACAAATAAATGATGATGAATAATTAAAAGTTTAGTTAAGGCAAAACAGCTAACAGGCAGTATATAGTATTAGCTCCAGCTTTACTAGCTGCAACATTATAGTGACTACACATTAATGAATCAATAATTAATCCAATAATAAAAGTATAGATTACATTATTTTGAAATGGGCCATTCTGCTCAATGAGTACTTTTACATTTGGTACTTTAAGTATATTTTGATGCTGATACTTTTGAGAATTTACTTGGTGTGGTATAAAAGATTGGAGTACTTGTTCCACCACTGAATTCATTATGAGAATAAAACTACATAAGTAGAACGGCTACCATAAAACTACACAGTACACAAGCGTCTCTTTTGAACTACTACATGAATATGAGACATTCACGATCACACACTAACATAATAGTGTGTTGAACAACAAATGTAAATGTAAACACAAAAGAAAGAACGATTTCAGCAGTTATAGGCGACATGCTGACGCAGAGGTTTGAAAAATAAGATGCTGAGATCTGGGGTCTTTAAAGGGTTAACAGGAGGAGGCGCAGTGGTCAGCTCGTCTGGGTGGAGTGAAGTTTAGACATGTACTATACTACAACAAATTAGCCAAGAGGGTTGCATAATGGCTGTGTGAATACCAAAAGAATTGAAAACATCTTTTTAAAAAGGGAAACCCAGCAAGCCAGGTCGCTGCTAAAGACTGAGCTGAGATGAGTGCTGTGAGTGAAGAGTCGCTGCTGGATTATTTCTACTCCACCGGAGGCAATTCAGGCAGAGTCAAAAATGCAGATATACTGAAGACATTTAAGCCCTTTATTGGCCATAGTGACTTGCAGTTGCGTGGTAAGTAGCGAGTCGTTGAATCGTAGGTTCAAGTAAATGGAAATATTTGGCCGAAAATGGAGAAATGTGATGTGAACGCGCGGCATCAGTTACTGCTCGTTACAAATACCAACTGACCTCGTGTTTGCCGGACAGGTCTCATATTTGGATACATATGATTCATGTTTTTTTCCCCAGTCTGCTTTAACAAACGGCTTTCATGTGCTTTCATTGTTCTCTGCTGTAAAGCAGACATCTGGATTGCATTAAATGCCCCTCCAAAGATCTGCAGGAATTGTGTCATTTCCTCCCTTCAGGCCAGTTGTAGAGCTGCCTGGCTGGTAGCTGATCAGAGGACCTGAACCAACCCATCACCAAAAACATGTCGCCATGCAGTGTCACTCCCCAGACAGAGCTGGGGTCCCTCAGCAAAATGAGGATGAGGAGTTATAAATTCACTATTGTAGCGTTCAGCCCAGTAATACCTTACTTGCTGCAAAGCTGCATCTCTCTGCTGTTCCTCTTCACCCACACTACAGATGCTTATGCAATCCTGTTCATTCCTGATCATTGCTAACACCAAAAACTCCTCTCATATTTGGCTTCAACAGACAAATATTTTGAGTATAAGTTAATGTTAAGTTGCTAGGCACACCTATCTAATGCAGTAAACCCTGTCCATCCCACTTTAAAGCTCCACTGTGAAATAAGAATAAACACAATCTTCCTGTCACAAATGAAAAACCAATACAATGCAATATTGCTCAGCTAATACATAGAGATCATACATGCGAGAGCCACTTGGTCTTGTATGACCAATCACTTCTGTTGGCTAACATTCAGTAGCTGATTAATCAACGAGTTAATCGACTGAAAATCAATGAGTAGCTCTATCTATAATTGATTCATGGTTTCAGTAATTTTATAAGCAAAAATGCCACATTTTTGCCACATTTTTGATTGTTCAAGGTTTTCAAATGTGAGGATATTCTTGGCCTTCCATTACAGTAAGTTGTAAATCTATGGGTTGTGGACTGTTTGTTGAACATTTGAAGAGTCACTTTGGAGTCTGGGAAACTGCAATGGACTTTTTACTGTTTTTGATGTTTTATTAACCAAACGATGAATCAGTTAGATTAAGACAATAAACAGCAGAACTCAACAAACATGTCTCCTGGTGAGATACTATGGCTTTACTCTTTGTTTTACATATGTTTATCTGTACACAAGAGAGAAGAGTCAACAGACTGGCTCAGTAATGTTAGGTACACAGGAATATGTATCTAAAGTTTGATAATGTAACATTAGCCACCAGGAGCTATTGGTCATACCTGACCAACTAAGGCGGTAGCATATTAGTGTATTAGCTGAGCAGTATTGCGTTTTATTGCTGATAGATTCAACTTTTTTTTATTCGTAACTGGAAGCTTGTCATTTATTCATTTCAGAAAGTTGACAAAGCATGCATTACTGACTAATGACTAAAACATATTTGGCCAAGAAGACAAATAACAAGCGTGTAATGATTAATTATCTATCCATTCAAAAAAGGGCCTTTGCCTTTGGCACTGCCTGGAATACATACTGTACGTTAACCTCCCTAAATGATTATCCAAAGTGACCTTGTATTGCAGTTGCCAGCATGTACTGTCCAGATGCTATGTCAGCACTGCAGTTGTTGACAGAGGTTTAGAGGGCCGCCTTGATACTCAGCCATCTGACATGGCTGTCCAATTAGAAAAGTGCTTCCCACATATTTAAAGTCTGTCATAACATGTGGTTGCAGATTTTCATGTTGTAATTGTGATGATAGTGTTTTAATCATTATTAAGTCCACATGCATGACTGGATGTAGACCTCTAATGGGGTTGCTTTTTCATCAGATAATAAAACTGGGGCATGGTGGGGAATGTAGCGGTGTTGGGGGATGTGTGCATGTGTGTGTATGTATGTGTTAGTTGCATGTTTGTGCAGACCTTTTGCTAATAAATAACTAGCATGTATGCTACGTTACTCTCTCGCGAGCGAGGAATTCTTTTGTTGAGACAGATGTAAGTGGCTGCTTCCTTTGGTTTTCCTGTTGTTGTGAATGTGAGGCGTGCAACTCATCTCACTGCATCAGGAAAAGGAAACACTTCAATTGTCCTGAGCTGCATGCCAGTGTACAGCTAGGCATGAATTGAATACCTACGCCTGGAATAATGTCTGTGTAGCCGATCTGGCTGCTTGATAACAAGAGTCAGCTCTTAATCACAGAGTTTGCACATGTCTTAATATATGCTCACTGGTGTAAACAAAGACAGATAGCTTTATCTGATGAGGCCTATCAGCTCGTCAGCTGTGGTTTGTTTGGTTCCCACAGGAAAGATTTCCCATAGGTCTTAAGTGACTCAGGTTTTTGCCTTTGGGGACACACTGTGATCTGTTTGGATCTTTGCTGGAGGGGAACTTCTTTCCTCTCTCTTGTTAGCTTGTGTTGCAGTGTTTTCCTTCTGCACCAAAGCAACTGTTTCTTTGCTATGTTAGCTGCATCTAGTTTGGACAGCCAGATGTGCACTGCCTCATCTTACTTCAGATGGAGAAACAGAAACCAGCAGCTCATCCTGCAGACTGCAACTCACAAACCCACACAGCTATTTGAAACAGACACTATTACATTCTAGCCGAATCTACAAATATTTTAGTTTATAATTACTGTCTTCCTCATATGATTTGACTTTGGGACTACTGATGTATTACCAAATGTAGGAATTCAAAGCTATGTTTAGTTTTCAGTTTTTCACATCAACATATTTTTCCTTGCAGCTAAATACAGAGAGGAATTCAAGCTCATTATTGACCGAATTGCTGTGGTGAAGTCAGAAAATGTAAGTGAACTATTCAAATATTTTTACCTTTTGTGGAAAAAGCCCTGCTTCAAAGCAGTCATATTTCAAGCCTGAGGCATAAGTATCACTTCTATGAAAGGATGCTGTTCAGTTAAAGTATCATGACTCAACAAGGGGCTGTCCGATATGTTTACGTAGTTTGTACAGAACTGTTTGTACCCACTGGTTTCCCCCGAAGGGACTGCAGCTGCACTTTTCATTTTTCTTGAAACTATTTTTATGAAGTATTTTCACCTATTGACAAAATATTACTGCAAGATGAATCAGTCCAAACTAAAAGGAGTTATTATGTGACTGTATTTAATGTTTGAATTAAGTATTTTCAACTTTTTGTTTGGGAGGGGGGGTATGCTTATTTGCTTTGAGTTAGGTGAAGATTGAAACCACTGTCTTACCTTTCTGTTAAAGCTGCTTGTTTAAGCAACCTGTGAAGTTGTTATTGAAGTTATGTTTACATTGAATGATACTTACCAAAACACATGTATGTATCCTTGAGGTCTTACAACTGTAGTAAATGTATTTCCTTCCTCATAAATCATTTGATTTCAATTTTTAATTGTTAACATCCATGTGTACTAGCAAGCAGTCTTCTGGACACAGGAGTGTGTGTTGCCTCACCCATGTGCATGTGCGTGCATCCCCCCTCCCCATGAACCATGTACCTCCTGGTACCATGCACTTCCCCATAAAACCAGTTTTACATTTCTGTTTGTATAAATTTAAACAAACAACAAGTTATTATTAAACTTTTTTAAACATTTGACAGAGTCAGGCTAGCTATTTCCCCTTGCTTATAGTCTTTATGCTAAGCTAAGCTAATAGTCTCCTGGCTGTAGCTTCAAACTTTATGGACAGATATGAGAGTGGTATTAATCTTCTCATGTGACTCTCATCAAGAAAGCAAATAAGCGTATTTCAAAAATGGAGCAGTTTTTTAAAAGCGAGACTCTAAACAAAATACATAGTTGACTAAATCTTATATACAAACTGTCAACAATACAAATCTACAAAAGCAATGACTGGCTTCACAAAGCCTGCTTGTACATACAGTCCCCTCCAAAAGTATTGGAACGGTAAGGCAAATTCCTTTGTTTTTGTTGTTGAACACATTTGGGTTTAAGATCAATACATGAGTATGAGACAAGAGTTCAGAATTTCAGCTCTCATTTCGTGGTATTCACATCTAGATGTGTTAAACAATCAGACATATCACCCTTTGTTTGAACCCACCCATTTTTCAAGTGAGCAAAACTATCGGAACATGTGACTGACAGATGTTTCTTGTTGCCCATGTGTTGCCTTTTAGGTTGATTGTCCAAACATTAAATAGCTCTGCATGACTATTCTAAGTTTTCATCCTTGGTTCAAACCTATAAAGACTGTATTTCCCGTTAAAGAGGATAAACCAACATGAAACCAGAGAGTGTCCATGGGAGAAAAGCAAGCCATTGTCAAGCTGAGGAAAGAAGGAAAATCAACAGAGCCATTGGACAAACATTGGGCAAAGCAAGCACAACAATTTGGAATGTCCTGAAAAAGAAAGAAACCACTGGTGTACTGAGCAACAGACGTCGAACAGGTCAGCCAAGGAAAACAACAGTAGTTGATCACAGAAATATCGTGAGAGCTGTGAAGAAAACCCCCAAAACATCAGTGACATCACCAACGACCTCACACAGGGGTGAAGGTATCACAATCCACTGTTGGAAGAAGACTCAGAGAGCAGAAATATAGAAGCCACACCACAAGATGCAAATCACTCATCAGCAGAAGGATCGGAAGGCCAGATTGAAATTTGCAATGAAGTACAGAGATGAGCCGCAAAAGTTCTGGAACACAATCTTATGGACTGATGAGATCAAGATTAATCTCTACCAAAGTGATGGAAAGGCCAAAGTGTGGAGAAAGAAAGGAACTGCTTATGATCCGAAGCTCATCTGTGAAGCATGGTGGAGGCGATGTCATGGCTTGGGCGTGCATGGCTGCTTCTGGAACACACTCATTAATATTTATTGATGATGTAACTGATGATGGTAGCAGCAGAATGAATTCAGAAGTGTATAGAAACACTGAAATGCATTGAAACTAATGGGGAGGAAGTTTATCATGCAGCAGGACAATGATCCAAAGCACACTGCCAACAAAACAAAGGACTTCATCAGGGGAAAAAGTGGAAGGTTTCAGACTGGCCAAGTCAATGACCTGACCTTAACCGAGCATGCATTTCACCTCCTTAAGGGGAGACTGAGGGAGAAACACCCCAAAACAAACTAGAACTGAAAGAAGCTGCGATAAAAGCCTGGAATAGCATCACAAATGAAGAATGCAACAGTTTGGTGATGTCGATGGGTCACAGGCTTGAGCCAGTTATTGCAAGCAAGGGTTATGCCACCAAATGTTATTTACTTTAAGATTATTTGTTGATAAATTGTTTAACACATCTAGACGTGAATACCAGGAAATAAAAGCTGAAATTCTGAACTCTTGTCTCATACTCATGTTTTGATCTTAAACCCAAATGTCTTCAGTGAACAACAAAAACAAAGGAATTGGCCTTACCGTTCGAATACTTTTGGAGGGGACTTACACGTCTATAAAACATATGTAAGGCGAGCGTATTGAAACCTTCCCCCTCCAGCAATGACTGCGAAAACAACCTCTGCACATAGAATATGGACAGTGAAGCTCAAACATCCAAGTGAAATAACAATAAGCAAAACCTATTTTTAGCAGATGGGGGCTTTAAAAATAAAGCATTATAGATAAATTCCCATTATTGGATAAACACATAAAAAACACAAAGAAAGAAAGACAGTATAACCCACATGGGTTTTTATTGTGGATGTTTTACTTTTTTCAAAAGTAATAATGTGCTAATTGACTGTTTGTTGCAGGGTGAAAAGTATCTTGTCCTAAAGAAGAAATACAGGCAAATGCTGCATGAGCGATACACCAAACATCAAGGGACTGATGGGGACGGACAGAGACATTCGAGGCCGGCCAGACCTTCTGCCACTGTACTGTGGGACGTGACGGACGCCTCGACTTCTTCTTCTCACCAGAAGGAACCACGGATGAGCCGATGCCATGCAGAGAGCCCGACAGTGATGCAGAGGTGAATCGATTCTTGTCATTTGTAAAAACAGTAAATTGTAGGGCAGGCTGGGATGATTCAGCAACAACACTGGGTGCTGAAATGCAACTTCCTGAATCTGCTATCGCCCCAACACACCATGTTTAGTCTTTATGTGAATGACACATTTATTTCTAAACAAGGCCGTCTTTGTTAGTGTACTCTGTCTTTTCTCTACCACCATGTGTCAGAATTTAATGCTGGTCGTGTGGCGCACATTTACACAGTGGAGTACTGTGGAGCAGAAAGATTCTCTTACATAAAGGGCGATTTGTTTAAAACTAATGCAGAGAAGAACTCTGTTTTGAAAATAAACACTGTGTGCTGGTTGAATATCTTTGCACATGATTTGTTCAAACAGGCACTAAAGCAACAGCACTGTCCACATCCAGAAAAGAGCAAACCAAGTACTAATGCTGTGTGTTAACCTCCGCCAGCACTCGACACAGCTAAACATTTGGCCTGTGAACACTCAGATCACACATTTGGATCAGAGACTCTTTGAATTTATAGCACATTATGTCTGTACTCCTGCAGGACCAGCAGACAGGAACAGCCTTCATGCAGCACACTGTACTGCAATGCCCTGTCATCCAAATCCAGGAACCCTCAGCACAAAGCAATGGGGACGATGAGCTGGACAAAGATTCGGGGTCAAAGGTGACAGTCTGGCTGATTGCCCTCCTGTATACTGTTAATTTTGTTTACTGACAGTTTTGTAGGTAATTTAAGTCTAGATCACTCCTTTTCTGGCCAAACAAGGCTGGAAAAGAGGCAGAAGTATGATAGACTGGAATACAATTAGTCATTATTTGATCAACACAAACACATTTTAGTAATACATTCATTTTTGTAAGTCTTTTTCTAAACTGAAATGTGTCCCCCTTATTCATATTTTCTTGTTTTTATTTTATTTATACTGCTATGATTGTAAATGGAATTTCTTTGGGTTTTGGACAATGTGAAGACATTACTTTTTGCTCTGGGACAATGGCTAAGGACAACTGTAATTGTTAGTTGCAGCCCATACTAAGTAGTCTGCTGCCATCAGGCCAGGTGCCTTTAACATGGTTTTCATGGATTAAATCCCATGAAGTGGAAGTTAACCCCACATCGTTTCTTAGCAGACGATTTTATAGCTTCATTACTGAAAAGTTTTTTAGGCCATACTTCCTAACAAAGGGGTATTTGGAAAGATTTAGGAGAAGCTCAACTAATCTGAAAATAAACAAACAGAAATTATTACTTGGTAAAGAAATATATCCACACAAAGACACAAATAGGATTACAAATTGGTGTGAGGCTGCTCTTTAGCATATTATATTATATTTATTGTCACAATAACCTGGAAACTTCCAGCTACGGTAGGCTGACTGCACAGGAAACGTGTCCCCCAACCTCAGTCAGTTGTAACACACGTGCTGAGATTGAGAGTGAGAAAGCTAGTAAAAGCAAGCACAGAAGTCGAAATTGAAAACTAAAATAAATCAATATATGATTTAAATGACCAGTTTTTGCTTCTCTAAGGGGTAGTAATATGAATACAAATTAAAAAGATGGAGAAAAGAAAATCCTAAAAATAGACAGTTCTTGGATGTCTTTGTCTTCTGTAAGAAAAATATTGTAGCATCCAGTTTTATCTAATTAATAGTGTTATGTTACATCCAGTTCAAAATCCATTCAGAACAACACATTTGGAACACGATGAGTGACATTTAAGGGACATAAGGATGCATAAAACAACCAACCTACTGTAATAATCACCAGAATTATAATCTAGTCAGGATCTAGAAGTGAGTCAGACAGTATAGAAAATCTATTAGAATTAATAGTAACAGACAATATGATGTCATTATAAAAAACTAAACAAATAACACGAAAATAGATTGTTACTGCACTGTTTTAGTGTTTGGGCATTCAGGAACCTCAGTATAAACATAGACTAGGTGTTGAAATAGTCAATAGTCAATTACCCAGGCCCAAAGTGACACCTTCACAATGCCAGCCAACAGTCCAAACCTCAAAATAATTAAAAATAAATATCAAAGGTAAGCATATTTTAGAAGCTGGAACCATTAAATGTTTTTTCATGAAAAATTACTTTAAGTTGCCAAATAAATTTTTTGTCATTTGCCTAATTAATGAACTCAACACTAATCGTTTTAGCTGTACTTGAATATTCTGTTGGGTAGTTGTCTTATCATGTTGTAATTGTTTCTTTTAATTTAAACCTTTTTGTGTGTAGAAGTGATGAACTAGAAGTATAAATGTAAGCGCATTAGTTGATCGGCGGCACCTTTTTGAAATAGATTTAAAGTTTTCATAATTAATGTCCTCTCATTCTGAAAGACGTTTAGATGAACATTTAATGTTGGTGAATTTCCTTTTTTGAATTACATTTCACTGTAGTTGCTCAGATGAAAGACACACCTTGGACTTACTGTATCTCAAAGTTTGAGAGTGAGGGACAAACACTGGTTCAGTGCTTACTCTGTAGTAGTTCCTCCTTTACCCACAAGGTGGTGCTAAGTAAATTACCTGGATTTGTAACATACAGTATGTTGATTTTTAGTGGGAGGAGAACCCACTGGGGGAGAAGGGGAAGAATATGCATTTAAATTAAGCTCTCTGTTATTATGTTAAGCAGCAACATGTTGGAACTCATTAGAAAGATAATAATCATTTGTGCCCATTAAAGAGATTGGGATTTATCTGAGAGAAAGATATGTGTCTCTCCTTGATGACCTGCACAACAGGCAGATGAAATGTGTTGAAGTGTGTTAATATAGCACCACAATCAGATTAAATGTGTTTGCTTAAGGTATTAGTCACACCATTGAACTTTGTATGTAGGACAAGTTCTTTCACATTACAGAAGCTACCTAGCAGGTTTATACACTGTTCTTAAACAAAACACCTGAGGCTGTAAGCTCTGTTGTTATTTGTCATTTATTAAATCATGCTCCCAAATGCAGGACGACACTCTGGGGGCAGATCAGTTCTGCTTCCCTTAAGTTTAAATTAGATTCAGGAGGAGAGCATCGTCCTTGCCTGGCATCTTAGTCACTGTTTTGGTCGTTCATAGGGAAGACTGATCAGCCTGAATTCCTGTTGATTACAATGGATTCCAATTAGAGCTCAACCGCTTGCACTGATATACTGGTATCAGCATATAAATCGGCCCATAAGTACAAATACATTTAGTTTGTCCTCCAGAAAGAGAACAGAAGTTTTTTGGAAACATGTCTTGTTCAGTACCAGTTTTGGTGTCACGTCTTAAAAAAAGATATGTGACAGATGGTGTGCTGCAGGAGTTTTGAGAAGTTTCTATGGACATTTTTTCCCCCAAGCCGTAAAATCTATTACTGTAGAAATCCAATGTAACTGCAATGAATTCTAGCTATAGATACAGTTCTCTGGTGGGGACCAAACAACTGTTACGGGAAGTTAGCATTTGAGATTAATTAATTTTGGTTCTTGTTATTTTGGCTACAGGGACGGTTGGTTGGTGGTCGACACTTTGGCCTTAAAGAACAATTGCATAGATTGTCATGAAAGACATTCATAGTTCGCAGAGAAAGAATCCTATTGACCTTGGTGATCTCAGGACTTTTTCTCTAGCGCCACCATGAGGTTGACATTTATGGTTTTGAGTAAAATGTCTTCACAGCTATTGGATGGATCATAAGGAAGTTTGGTACAGACATCCGTGCCCTTTTAAGGATGAATTGTAATAAATTTATTGGTTCCTTAACCTCTTCCCGTCATCAGGTCAAATCTGAATTGGTCCAACATCAATGCTACTAAATACTTAAATAACTGATGATACCCCCATCAGCCTCAGCCTCATGCTAACATGTGCTAAATAGTAAATTTGAGCATGCCATCAGGCTAAACCTGAAATGGTGAACATAGTGATACAAGACAAAACAGGGCAAATCAGGGCAAATATGCCATATAGTGTTTTATACTGTTGGTTAGACATAACATTGAAGACGTCACTTTAAGCTATGGAAAATGTCTGTATTACCACGAATAATTGAAAAATTACTACGAATAATTGAAAAATGTATCAGTATTTGTAATGTGTAGTATAAATAATGGTTGCAGCCCTAAAAGCAATTAAAATTACAATTAATGAAACATACTTTCCATTCACACTCAATAATGTTTTTCTCGGCCCGTTATTATTGGTCTCCACCATAAGTGCCAAAAAATTGACATGTGCTGGAGCGGAACAGGCTGGATAAATACAATCCATCCACTTTTCATGTCCAGCATGCTGACGTGTGACAGTCTGTGCAAGAGACATGAAAGGGCTGAGTGTTTTAAAATCATGTCTCTGCATGATCTAAGAACAATTTGCAATCACGTCCCCCGTAAAAAAGGTGAGAAGAAAAAACTTCTCCCCTCTCACATAAATCAGCTAAAGAGACACATTTATACACTGCTAGAAGAGTTTTTCTCTTGACCCCTTCAGACTGAAATGGTGACAAAAACACATGGCCTGACTGTAGGCGTGTTGTGTTTTGGTTAATTGTTAATTGGATTGTTATTCATTACCCCTATGTGTGAAACCAGCACCTCTGTCTTGTTGTCTCATTACCTCTCTATCTGTCTGACACCCTTTGGTCACGTCTCGTCAACTGGAAAACATCACAGCAGTGTGACCACATGTGATGCTGGATTATGCTGTGTGACTATTATGACTGTTACGGTACAGTTAAGTTGTGTCAAAGTTGGGCTTTTCGTCACCACTGAGTAATAGTCATCTGTTTTCTGTCTTTCAGTCCGAGTCAGAGCAAGACGAGGAGTGTACGGGGAGTATGGGCTCCGCTGCTGTCGCTGTAAGTCCTTTTCATGCATTTTCCTGTTGTTTTCTTATCAACAAAAGGCTTAAAGGAGTAGTAAGTAAAACATGTACAGTGTCAAATCTACAGAGTTGGAGTTTCTCTTTTATCTTAATGATAGATGACCGTTAGGGTTTGGTCTTTGAAATACACATCCACTCTCCCTGTGATGTCACTACCGGCAGTCCTTGTTCCCTTTAAACCGATAACATAAGAAAACTGTTGAATGTGCAGTGTGATCATGGGTGTCTCCCACAATGTGTCAGTTAGTGACTCAGTCATTTGTAGGAAATGGATTAGAGGTTTGTAGTTTCAGCATTATCAGAGCCCATATATAAGAGCCCACAACAGGATGTGGACAGTAGGGTGTGTGTGCGTGTCATTGTCATTTTTTATATATCCCAGTGGGGATTTAAACCATAAATGGGGACTGTCACTGTGGAGACAAAACCTTAGGTCCACATGAGTAAAGACTGTCAGACTTTTTGAAAGTTAAGACTTGGTTTTAGGGTACAGGTTACAATCAGGTTAATGTTTTGGGTAGGTTAATGTTAGGCATGTAGTTGTGATGGTTAAGCTTAGGGTAAGGGGCAAGGGAATGCATTATGTCAATGATGTGTCCCCACGGGGATAGAGAAACAAATCTGTGCACGTGTGTGTGCATATCTAACCTTACCCCTCTCTGTGATAGCTGGATCCTATAGAGAAGGAGTGGATCTACTCCGCTGCCGGTGCTCGAGTCCCTGACCTCTCACAGCTGCTCAGACAGGACCCCTCGCTGGCACACAAGAAGGTAGTGCTGCCCTCTGCTCTGCCTCTTAAAGGATAATTCCACATTATTGCAAATGGGATCTTATTTTCATATTTTTATCCACTGTCTATCTATACTAATAACATCTGGGAATGTGGTGCTATCACCACTACAAAGTCTGATAGGACAATAAACGTAAGCAGTAAAGCGATCAGACAGATAAGACAAACCAAGGCTAGCCAAACTTACAGTAAAATTGTATACAGAGAGACTCTCGAGTGGTTGCTATGGCTAGCAAGGCAAGGGGCACGTGACAAGACAAAAACAGCCAAAGCTGTAATTATGAAAATTTTTGGTAGCCTTGCTAACTTGTCAACTTGTAATAAAACTGTCCTTAAACAACTATAGCAATTTGAAAATTTTTATTAATTAACAGTTTCTTTACTATTTCATCTCTATTTGATGAGTTTTGACTATTTAGTTGTGATAAAGCATTGAGTTGTGCAAAACAACACTGTAAAAGCCACAGCCAACGTGGTCTATAAGATAACATTTTGATAGCTTGCAGAGCCAGCAGTCAGCAGTAAACATGCTAGCACATTAACAACACTAGTGCTAGCTAGGCTACCCCTTGTCCATTATGTCCTTTGTGAGTCTCTTGTCGTAAACACTCATCACAGTTGACAGACCAACCTCCTGGCTCAGCTTCATCCTACTGTACCTGCTGTAGTTAGGGGTGCACTCAATTTCCTGTGGATGTTTACTGATATGTTGATATGTCACTTTCAGTTTAACCTCCAAATAAACTGGTTTACATAATCTGGTTAAAGCTTGTTTACAAGGACAAAGGGACAAAGAACCAGCAACACAGGATCATTACCTGAGTTTCGATTTGAGGGACCAGAGAAAAATGTAGTTCCTCTACTATAGCTTCAATTGCCAAAAAAGTCCCTACTCCTGGAGAAGTTCTTTCTAATGGTTGAGGAACTATTGGGTAGGGATGCACCGAATGTTTGGCCACTGAAATTAATCGGCTGAAAATAGCAAAAAAAGGCGTAATAAGTCAAATGATCGAACAAATTTTACTGAACAATTACGTTGACATGTCAGCAGTGTGGAAGCATTTTAAAGTGTCCGAGAAAGATGCAAAAATTGCCGGTTGCAGACGCTGTTTGGCTGAATTGTCTCCTTGCACATCCACTACATCTGTGGCCGACTTCTTAGAAAAGGTAACAAACGGTCTGATCCGCTTTAAGTGTTTCTGTCACTTGTTTCTGAGAAGGCAATTAAGGTAGCCGCACCTACATTTGGAGTGCAGACGTATTCAATGCTTTATGGTAAATCCACCGAAACAGACCATTGCAAGCTGACAGGCAGGTTGGCGACTTTATCCTGTCCTGTTGCAGTATGAGAGTCTGACCTGAAGAGAGGCCATGAAGTCTACATGGCCAAGAATTTTCATTTCGGTGCATCCCTACTATTGGAGTGGAGTTTGCAGTGCTCAACAGTGATTGGTCATCTTTTACAACTTGCATACGGCTTCATTCACAAAATAAGGAAGGACTGGGTGTCTCTTGTATCAATGACATTTCTTGTGATGTTTCTTGACGTTAGAAACAAAGTTATGTTGTTGGCTTCCCAAATATAAAAAAAAGAGCTAGATGGATGGAATGAACGTGAGAGAGACGTTTCAGAAAGTGAATAAGAGGCAGCAGCAATAAGTGGACAAAGCTAGTAAACAAGAGAAATAAAAAGTTACGATATAAATGGAAATAAATAGCAAACACTTCACACCCTCAACTGATCATTGCTAGAGGGAGAGGTTGTGGAGTTTTCAGTCTCTCTTTTCATCCATTCAAACATCAGCGTCACGCAACAGTACATACAAAGAACATGATGTTGAGACTGTTTGTTTCTTTGTGTGTGAAAATCAAGTTTGCTCATGGGTCTAATTTGCCTAATCTTCGTACAAACAGGAATGCGCTAAAGGGACTTTTAAGTTTCTAGTTTAGTACCTGTATTTTTTTGTTATTGCAATGTCACTCCAGTTCCCAGATGCCAGGTTTTATTATCGTGGACCAGTTTTGTCAAAACACATCCACACAAATAAGATCAGAGTTGTAATAAGCCTGAATTATCCTTTAATGTAACACAACTACACAGTGAATAAAACAACAATAACAAAAAGACTATTTCTTGAAGTTGGATACATGGTTTACAAAGCTTCACTAATATTTGCTTATTTCTCTTTTTTTTGGGGGGCGGTGTCAAACTAGGACTTCACCTCAGTGAGTATTTGATGTGGCACTTTGAAAATAATAGAATGTATCTAACATGCTGCACGTTATGGATGAAGTTTATTATTACGATTTTTGTCTGACTTAAAGCCTCTTATTATCTCATTTTGACACACTGTGCCTCCCAACTGTGACCATGACCATCCCTTTCAGGGGGTAAGTTTCATCATTCGTACATCTGTCTGCACCTTGTGTGTAATAACACCTACTGTAGCCTGTTGAAATGGAAGTTGATTCACAGCTTGCATTAAAAACTTGCGTTGTGTCGATCAGTATGTGACACAAAACTCCTCAGACCCGTGTTTTGCTTGTATCATTTTTTCCCCTTAATAGTATTCTGAGAACCCTGTGTTAAAACATCCAGATCATGCATTTCAAAAGGTCCACTATCAAAAGGATTATGAAAGATAGCTTTTTAGCTCCTGTGGCCCCCTGACAACCCAAATCCTTTTATTTGTCTCCCTGTGCGCTTAAGAGATTTGAGCTCATGTTTGTTGTCCCTCCCCTGTGTCACAGTTCTCACACTGTCCTGTGGCCATGGCAGACCACCTTCTAAGAGTAGCCCTAAGCCTCTGCCATCCCCACCCGGACAAGATAGCACGGTCGCCATTGAAGTGTAGGGAGATGGGGGGGGGGGGGATTAAGGAGAGTCTTAATGCACCACAAAGACTTCACCCACTTAAAGATAATCTGAAAGTAATAGAGCAGGCTGGGATTAATTGTAGAACAATGCTGGTTGTGTCCCTGGGAAGGTGCTAAGTCCCCTTCAGGCCTCTTTGATGTTCCCTTTAGCCCTCAGCCTTTCCCTGTTCAGCAGAGGTGGATGCCTTTCCAGAGATAACGTCCACCTCAAATCACAAAAGTCACAAGACTCATGAGAACCACAGTCTTTAAAACCAGGAGTTATTATATTCTGAATGATCTGATCTGTCATGTCCTGACTTTGCTCAACAGAAGTTATATTAAGTGTACCAAATACCAGGCTCCAAAATCACATGTTTGACCAGGACTGAAGGGATTACTCTTCATCCTGGGAGGACTTAAGTGTTTCCTGTTCAGACCAAATGTTTGTTGGGATCAGGTGGTTTAGTAGATATGCACTTCAAACAGTGGTTTAAACGTGAAGTTGCTTAAAAGTGAAGACATGACACAGGTCAGAACACCCAGAGCTCACCTAAGTCAAACACCTCTCACTCCGAAGTCTCACGCTCTTTTTCTCTTCCTGCACTGCTCGTGACGTGGACCTCTTTTCCTGCTGTGACGGACTTCCTCTGCCACACAGTTTGTAAGTACATCATTAGCCCATCACTCCTCTCTGCCTTCCTCCACATCAAGTGTCAGTAACACTGGCCATTGTGTCTCCTGTTGATGTGAGCCCTCTATTGCCACCACTTCCCTCACTGGGGTGCGCGTGGTGGGGACAGAGCCGTCCCTGAGTGATTGGACAGGTGGGGGGGCAGGAACAGAAACGAGAGGTGCAGGAAGGGAAGACGCTGCATCCTGTTCAGCCTCGTCCATCACCCATACCCACCAGGAGAGCCGCCAAGCCGCTTGTCAAACAGCCCTTTGGCCAATCTGTCTTAAGGTGTGACAGGGGACAGACAAAAGAGATGGAGATACTTGAGCCAGACAGCATCTATCACAATATGTCTTCCAGACGCCCGACACATAGAGGTGTAGCTACCTTTCGCTCCCTCACCCCCTTTTAGTGGTTACAAGCAGACATTTTTCTCTTGCCAGCTGTTGGACAGGCTTGTCGTGCTACAATTAGCACAATTAGCATCATAACCCCTAAACACAAAAGGATGTCTGTCCAGTTCAAGCAGCGTGTTAGCCCCAGTTCGTGCCTCTCGTGTGTTGTCGTTACATTCGAGTCACAGAGCTGAACATCTGTTTCTCTGCAAAATAAATGCCCGACGATGTCACTTAACAACAGATGTTCTGAAGGTATTTCCAGGATCCTCAAAGGCTTTTCTAAACACATGGATGAAAAGAAATTCTCTCTGCCACAAGAAAATTTTTGTTTCTCAAATTGCGACTATTTCCTAATCCAGATAGCCAAAAAAAATTTTCCATCACTTTTTTGTACAACTCAAGAAAAATAGTAACCTATAATTGAGATTGAAAATAGAACAACAACATCAATATAAACAAATATAAATGAAAATGTAAAATAAAGTAAAATGTTTAAGTTTTGGTACACACTGAATAAATTAAGCAAGGACATACTGTATGTCATTTGCAGATGCCATCTATGTTTGGATTAGGATAAAAAGGCGCAGCTTTGGGAACAGGTTACAAATGTTTTGACTTAATGACTTTCTGTGTTTTCCAAAGATTTCCAGGTAATTATTTTCTCAGATGCTTAGCTCTGTGACTCAGATGTAATGGAAGCACAAGCTGGGAGCAGTTATATGGTATGTGTGTCAAACACTCACAAGGTAATGTTTCAGCATGCTGTGTCTTCTGAGCTATGATTGTTTTTAGCGCTCACCGGCTCGTTTCATATTGCGCAGGAGCAGTGTTCAATGAGGTTGTAAGGTTTTCATCCTTCCACAGTTAATAGGTAATTCTCAAACGGTTACTGTTTGATTTACCGTGTTAAGGGTCAGACTCAGAAGGGGTGGATGTGGTTACTTAGGCGACATTTGCACTTACGCTCCGCTTTCACCTGTTGATAGCCCATAATTACGCAGCTTAAAGTGTGCACTAAAAACTGTGGAGATCACAGTTCTAGCCCGACAGGTGGATGTGGTTTGGTTTGTGACTTGTGTGTTTTAGTGTGCGTTGTACATATATTATTTTCACATCTATGCACACATTTAAGTATCTTTGCATGTAGACGTGTGGGTGTATCTCTAAGAGTTGTGTTGCAGGGGCCCGTGTTTCCCTCCTTGATGTGTGCTGACAGTAGTGCAGTGATGTCTGGGTGGGTCTCCACTCTGCAGGTCACACTAACATCATCAATCTTCCCCCTGGTGACAGGCGGCCAGGCCCCCCAACTGTGGGCACAGTGCTGTGTTGTTTTGTAATTAGGCTCTGTTAGATGGCAGGAAACCATCTCTCTATCCCTCTTTCTCACCATCCCTCCATCCATCCACTCCCCTCTGTGCGCAGCTGGCCCTCTGCCCACATACAGCCAATAAGAAGCTGGCCTGCTCAGCTTAGACAACTTGTAATGATGCTATAGCAATTTCCTTGCCCAACAATGGTACACAACATTGTAGAAGAAGAATTGTATGAATAACTCTTCTTTCCTTATTGCACACAGACAGCACTGCACTGGGCTGCCAAACATGGCAGTGGGGACATGGCCACTCTGGTGGCAAATGCTGGTGCTGATGTCAACACCAAATCAGTGAGTGCATTTTAATTTTGTTCATTTTTAGACAATGATTTTTAAAGGGGCACTACAGCTATTTATTGCTGCACATCAATGAATTAGGGGGTTCTGTGCAAGACGGTGAAATGGTCAAAATTCAAACAACAGATGCAAAGATATGCAGACTTTTAGTTTTTAATATGGGTCTTTTTCTGGTTTAGTGGGTTTCTTCCATATCCATAAAATACAACAACAATCTTCTAAAGTCCTATTCCCAACTTTTTAGTCGTAATCTCAGTTGCCAAAACACTTTTACAGCGTTCAGTCATCTCTCTCCTGCTGTAACAGACCTTACCCTAACCCTAAGCTAGCCTCGACCCCTTGACTCTCTCATAGACTAGTCTCTCATGTCAAGTTGTGACATTTAACCTGTGATGGTTCATTAAACGATTATTTAATGAAATAGTGTTCATTAAACAAACTTACTTCCCTTAAGCAAACATATGGTGTGAACCACATGACATACTGTTAAGATTACTTTATATATTATAAACATCATTATCAATGCAATTTTGGGAGCTTGTCTTACTTCTGGGAGCTGGTCTTCTTTAAATCTATGGTGCAATGCAGTTTGCTTTCCTGTGTTGTGTACAATCACCGATTTATTCATGGTATTGTTCTTTCTTGCAGCATGTGAGTATCCTGTTTTTTTAATCAGGAAGTGACGGGTATGTACAGTAAGTGATTGGAGTGGATATCAAGAGGATAACAATATGGCTGCTAGTTTCTTCTTCTGTGCCCCTCAGTGATGTAATGTTTCTAAATGATCTCTGTGAACATCCAGCTGTGCAAATGTATTACAGCAGCATGTGTTGTTCGGCTGCAGGAGTACGCCGCTAATAAATCATGTCATGTCATGTTAATTGTTTCCCAAAACAGTGTGTCTATGTGCCAGCATGCACAACTCTAGAACTATGCAATTTTCAGTGAATTACCAAGCAATTATGTTTTTACCATTATCTTCTGTTTCTATAACCTTTGCTAATTTGTATATTTTTTCCCATGCTGTTTTCATTGGCTGTGTTTGGTCCTGGGAAACTCTAGGGGGTAGGTACTAAACCTTTCCAGCACTTTGCCACAGTTATCCCCCTGAACTCAACACAAAAAAGTGTCAATTTTAAACTGCCATAGCCCTTTCTGTGTCAGTGAAGTGAATGTTAAGGTTGCATCACCACTGTCCCTAAATAGAGAATAATTCTGAACTTAAAAATACACGTTTTTGATTTTCTTTATGCATGTTTTTCTTTTGTTTTACTCTTGTTTTTGTTCTGCAGGGATATACACCTTTACACATTGCAGCATTACATGGTCATCGGCATATTCTAGACCTGCTCATAGGGACATATGGTAAAAACGGCATTCATTTAACCTCTTGGCTGCAGGGATAGCACTTTAAAACAAGTCTTTATCACGCTAGTGTTTACAATCATTACTAGTAAATGTAGAAAATTAAAATCTTGATTTAATGTAAAATACATGGTTTTGCAATATACACTGAACAAAATTATAAACACAACACATTTGGCTTTGCCCCCATTCATCATGAGCTGAACTCAAAGATGTAAGATGTTCCCTACGTACACAAAAGGCCTATTTCTCTCAAATATTTTTCCCAAATCTGTCAAATTCTGTGTTAGTAAGCACTTCTCCTTTGCCAAGATAATCCATCCACCTCACAGGTGTGGCATATCAACATGCTGATCAGACAGCATGGGTACTGCACAGGTGTGCCTTAGGCTGGCCACAATAAAAGGCCACTCAAAAATGTGGGTATCCGGGGGATCAGTCAGTATCTGGTGTGATCACCATTTGCCTCACACAGTGCAACACATTTCCTCTGCATAGAGTTGATCAGGTTGTTGATTGTGGCCTGTGGAATGTTGGTCAACTCCTCTTCAATGGCTGTGCGAAGTTGCAGTCAAGTCGGGACCCTGATGAGCTTCCCTGAGACGGTTCCTGACAGTTTGTGCAGAAATTCTTTGGTTATGCAAACCGATTGTTGCAGCAGCTGTCTGGGTGGCTGGTCTCAGACGATCTTGGAGGTGAAGATGCTGGATGTGGAGGTCCTGGGCTGGTGTGGTTACACGTGGTCTGCGGTTGTGAGGCCGGTTGCATGTACTGCCAAATTCTCTGAAACACCTTTGGAGACGGCTTATGGTAGAGAAATGAACATTCAATTTACGGGCAACAGCTCTGGTGGACATTCCTACAGTCAGCATGCCAATTGCACACTCCCTCAAAACTTGTGACATCTGTGGCATTGTGCTGTATGATGGAACTGCACATTTTCGAGTGGCCTTTTATTGTGGAATGCCTAAGGCACACCTGTGCAATACCCATGCTGTCTGATCAGCATGTTGATATGCCACACCTGTGAGGTGGATGGATTATCTCGGCAATGGAGAAGTGCTCACTAACATAGATTTTTGACAGATTTGTGAACAATATTTGAGAGAAATAGGCCTTTTGTGTACATAGAGAAAGTCTTAGGTTTTTGAGTTCAGCTCATGATGAATGGGGGCAAAAACAAAAGTGTTTATAATTTTGTTCGGTGTAAGTGCAGTCATTCAGTTTAAGAGTGACAGTAGGTTCCAATCTTACCTGAGTAGTTTTGTTTACTTTTGGATCATGCATCAGCTTTAGGTGTAAGGTGTCAGTGAAGTAGCTTACCCGCTGCCTCCCATGACGTGTCTCAGTTTAAGAGATATAATTTTTCCTCTTATCAGGGGCTAAAGAAAACTTAAGAGACTACAGTGGCCATCTTGCCTGCCATTATCTGAACATCAAAGAACAAGAGGGTCCAGAGGAAGACTGTGAGCTGCGTGAGTGCCCCTGCTGCTGAATTACAAATTATTTGATGGATAATAACTGTCAATTTCACTTTGTTTAGGTTTTATGTTTTTCTTTTCTAATATGTTGTATTTTCTTTCTGTTTAGCTATCCCCCAAAGCACTTTCTAATTCTGCTTTTGAAACACGCTATAGAAATAAAGTTGACTTACTTAAAGTAAGTAGTAGGACAGTACTGTAGCTTTTTGTTTGGAAAATGAGTCATGGGCTCAAATTTCAATTACAAGTTTGAGGCACTCTATAAAATGTTAAGAGTTAGATGAAGTTATTTAATTGTATCGTCTTTGTCACAACTGAAGTACATGTGACCAAACTTTATTTAAATACATTTGTAAAACAAAAGTAAAAATAAGATATTTTTCTTTATAAGTAAGACAAGTTAGATATTTAGATACGTCTCTCACGTCTGTATGCCAAATACTTGATGTCTGTGTGTATCAGCAAATGGTAGTTTCTGTCTGTTTTTGTTGAGCTTTTTGTCCTGTTTGCTTATGCTTGTTCTGTGTACGTACATTGAGAGCAATTTTAGACCGGACTCAAATTCCTCGTATGTGTACACATACCTACCAGTAAAAGTGATTCTGATTCCTCTTATTCAAATATTGAAGCTACTGCCACCGTCACTTAGCTTAGCTTAGCATAAAGACTGGAAGCAGGTGGAAACAGCTAGTCTATCTCTTTTATCTCCAATGTGGCTGTCCAAAAAAGACATTTAAAATATTGATTAGATAAACTTCGGAAAAATGAAAATTAACCTCCCGGCGTTTCACTTCTGCTATCTAGGATATGAAAACTTAGTTGGTAATATGGTAATCATGAATTTTCCCTAATCAATTAACTTTTGTTTCATTGTGATCCCAGAGTTTCAAGGCCCTCAGGCCAGAGAGCGGAACAAGAACAGGAAGTTGGTATCGTTGTTTCAATCTAAGAAGAAGTGGGGCTCAGCAGAGGAGCTGGCTCCGATAGAGGAGGAGAGGACGGCGTCGAATCAGCTCGCCCTTCCTGCATTCAGACCCAGAAAATTCTCTCGCTGAGGAGAAACCGACACCATTTCTGATTCTGCTAGCTCTCCTGCACTCACACATCCACTTAATCCTTACATTCACATAAATTACACTCATAATGTAAACCTAAATGCATATGTTATGTGCACACACACACACCATTCAACCTATGCTTACCGAAACAATCCCACACGTTTGCTGATGCACCTAAACGGCTCATCCAAGTACTGAACGCAGATGCTTTAACAGTGAACAGGTGGTGTTGCAGATGATGCTATGCTACTATCAATATTTATGCTAACCATACAAATATTTCTTGAAGCCTTTACATTTTAATGAATGTTGCTAACAGTTACTTATGCCTTACAATTTAAAATAGGCTCAGGCCACACGGAGTCTTTAAGCTTGTCATCGTCTTTGTTTGTGTTAAAGTGAGCAATTTTGAAGAGCAGACAACAACTGGACAGTAAAAGTGTCCAGATGATCAAGATTCATTTCACTGGAGATAAAAACCAAAAGCAGCCGCGTTTGTAACCAGACTTGTCTTTCAAAGGATCACACTGGTGGTTTGTTTTAGTCTGTTATATCTGCATGCAAGTACAACAGATAAAATAATTTGTACGCATCACCATGCTGAATATTTTCCAAAACATACCAGTTTGTTGCAATTTACATGTTATACTGATTTCCTATCTGTTACACAGCAACAGAATTATTATGAGACAATAACACAACTTAAATGGATAAATCAACAAAAATCGATCAGTCAGTCAATAAAACATTCAGTGTGTGTTAAATTTTACTTAACTAGCAAGATTCAGTTTCCTGAAAGTTAATTTTCAAACTGTACTGAAGACAGTGGCTTCTTGGAAGGTAGAAAATGAGTCTCTAAAGTGTCTGCAATTTGTAGTTAATGTTCTTAAACATATCATCACATCATTGTGTTCCTACCTGAGCCACATTTTTCTCATTACCATTGCTAACTCTAATACAGGTCAAGGTTTAGATTGTCCGCCACCCTCAGTATTTACATGTCTGTCATTCCTCTGCTGGCTACTGTCAGGCTGTAATGACTGTTTTTCTGTCATGGTTCAGTTCATCTGTGCTTGACATTGTTGTTGTCACTGACGTGAGTTTTTATGACTGATGTACTTGCAGTATGAGCAAAGATGATCTAACATCTTTGCCGCTCTGTTACTTGATTTAGTTACCTCTGAAACCTCTTGCGTCAACATGGTGAATGTTAACGGATTGTGCTTAAATTATTCTTTTAATTATTAATCTAATTTGTCCACCCCCTGTGCATTAAAGTACTAAGTTAACTTTTGCAAAAGAAATTTGCACTACTACATTGTGAATCAGAGTCTTCTGAATTATTTTGTCCATTGGTATTAAAGGGCCTTTGTATAGCTTTAGACATCATTTTCATTTGCTGTAAAAGATGCTTAGCGTAACTATTTCTTTAAGATCTGGTGCCAGTGTAAAAGTTATAGTTGTATGTATTTTTCAAGCTAAATGTATAATCTAAACTACAAAACCTGCCTCCATTACAATATTTATATAATGACGATAGTTTACTATTAAACTATATTTTATATCAAACTGGATATGCATGTTTTACACCACTCATGCATGTGCATTGTTCCCTTTGAACACAGTAGTAAGTCACTGTGTGTCCACTTCTCTGTCACACTGGAATGATCTACATCAAACTTCAATCTTTGGACTGAGTGACTTGGCTGCTCACATACACACACAGTTCCTACTTAAAAAGCAGAGAAGAACAACTTGTGATAATACTTTTTTCCCTTTCTTTCAATACAATAACCCTAGTTTTTTTAAGCTGCCTTTGATCTCACTTTAACTACCTGACTTTGTGGGCTACAGATGGAGTAAATATGGGATCCTGCAAACTCTCCATACGGCTTTAGACCTTAATTCCTGATTAGCTGAAAAGGGCAGCACTTGCTTTTAGGTCTTGGATATCAGACGACACAGAGGGGAACATAGGCAAGTGTTTTTGTGCTTCATTTTTGAAGCGAGGATGTTTGAGGGATAAGAGGGAGTTTCTGTAATAGATACTTATCTTACTGCCCTCAAGCCCCTCAAACAAAGTCCCCCTCTGAAGAGATTATAACCCAGGGAGGGCACATTAACTCTAATCCGATGCTTTGAGGCCTTGCACCCCCATACCACCCTCTGCCCCACTTATTTCAACCCTTCTGTTGTTGGAGGGGCTACCTTGTATCCAGTGCATGTATGAGTAGGGCCTGTGGATACACACGAGGGTTGTGTGTGTGTGTGTGTGCACGCATGTATGTGTGCATTTGTGTGTGAGTCAGGGGGGTGGAGTGACTGTTTCAATAGCACGCTGACTCTAATGAAAAGCATTGAGGGGTGCATACTGCTGTGTAACTGATTCCTCTCTCTGAAGAGATTAGGCGGTACATTGTTGGTTCAGTTGCTCATTTCCATGAGAGCACAGCCTCCCACCAGCGGCTGCTTGGCTTTGTTATTTTGAGTTGGAGAACACAGAGTCCAATGCCCCTGGCTTCCTTGTTACCATTGTTTCACAAATAGGCCAAAATGTAGATGTCACGTCACAGATGCCCAATAACCTCATTAGTTGCTCTCTGTGAGGCTATAGAGAGAAAATGATTAATGCATGAACTTCAGTTTGTTCAATATGGAGTTTCTTTGTAAAACTGAGTTAACACTTCTCTTAAAGTGTTTTTACTGGATATATAACTATAATAGATAGAAATAACCCATATGGCAATACCCTGGCCAGGTACAAATGGCATCTCTGCCTTTTTATGCTACATATGTGCAGGGAAACTAGAAACTGAGGTGGAGAAACGGTGTGCAGCGTAATAACAATGTATATAGGCTAAAACGGCAACACTTTACTTCAAGTCCCCCTATTAAGCATTCTATGACATGTCTTCATAGGATACATTATTTGTTTACCTGTCCTTATGGCTGCATACAACTAAAATATAGTGTGTTATTAATTGTTTGTATGCTGCTCATACATGCCAAATTGGGCAACTTGAAGTAAAGTGATATTGGTAAAGAAGTGAATTGTATTAAAAAAAAAATGGCATCCCTGCCTTTATTAATATCTACACAGCGTGTACAGGGGAAAACAAGATAACAATCTTAAAAATGTAATTTCATTAGGAAGATACACGTAAGGATCCTTCATTACATTTGTTTCCTTACCACTATAAACCCATTTGACTATGCCCTGGGTAGGAAAATGGCATCCCTACTGTTTTATGCTCTATATACTATATATGTGAAGGGACACTTGAGCAGATGAGGTGTAGCAACAGGGTGCAGCGAGCTAACAAGCTGATCTGCAACAACGAGCACGCTTGGGGAGCTGCCCTGACCGGGCTCCAGCAAAATGGGCCAGGGCTCTAGCTCAGGGATGCTGGGGGCCCAGCACCCACCCACCAGGGTCCAACACAGGGAGACACCAACAGCAGCACCAGCTGTCACACCAGCCATCACAGCCCAACCAACGCCGCCTGTCACTCACCCAGCGGAGGGCCGTCAATCAGGCTGTACCCAGGAGGGAGCTGGGAGGCAGGCAACTGCCCGGCCCTAAACAAAGACATACTTACATTTGCAAGCGTATTCAGCGCCACTACTATTTTGAAAGAATGATAGAGTGATCCTGATAAGAGTAATGACAAAGGACAAAGAGTGGAAGGGGATCTGGAAAGGAGGGGGTCAGATAGTAAAGAGGTGGGAGAGCTTGATAACATTCACACTTTGCTTACATCTCTCCATTTGTGTTGGTGCCCCAGGGAAATCTCATTAGGGAGGAAAATTGGAGTTCTGGCTGGAGACCATTGTTGGCAATTGACTTTTTCACTATGTAAATTCTTCATCTTAAATGTTTTGTTGGCTGTTTTGTCAAAAAAATGTGAAAACACCTTTTAAATTTACAATTGCCATCTTTTCATTTAGCTATTTTAATGTCAATGCACCTTCCAGATTTTCACTTAATGTACTTAAAATAAATACTCTTAACACTCTTTCCCTCCTCTGGCTCAGTTCCTGTGACTATGTCAACTTTCTCCCCTTTCAGTATCTGGCACAGTAAAAATAAACTAACAAGCAATAGGTGTTGAAGACTGTGGATTCTCTTCAGGCTTTTGTTGTCCTGTTCACACCTATCTATGAGCTATTCTAATTACATGTTTAGTCCCTTTGTCATCTCGCAGGTAGGGGATTGCCTGTAACAGAGGTCACACCTAAACCTTTTGTCCTGACTTGCTCATTAGCCCGTTGCACTGCCTGGATTTATCCCCAAAACCAGGGTCTTATTTAACTTAACTGTTTGTGTAGTGATTTAAAATGAGAATATGCAGAGGATTTGTAGATAAACATGAATTACCTATAGAAAGCACAGTTTCAATACAGGGGAATGACTCAGGTGTTATCAGAGATAAAGATCATTTCATCCTCTTTGCTATCTTGCACTGTATCTCTTTGGGTACTGAGGACAATCGTCTCCCATTTGGTCACTTTTCTCTCCTGTAAACGACTGACATCCTAATGGTAAACAGCACAAACTCAACCTGTCAGAGCAAGACGAACACCTGCATTGTGACGGGGCTGCCAAAAGAAGGAAATGAAAAAAAGCTCTACAAGATGGACAAAGGCCGCTGCCCTGAGCTGTTTGTGTTGTGAGATGTAGACTACTGATGCCATAAGCCTCCTACTCTTTGCACTCTGGTCAGCTCATTGTTACTCTTGTTCAAATTTGCTTTAGGTTCTGTGGAACCCGCCCAAATTCCTCCTTTCCCTCCAACTTTTGCCACATTTTATCTTTGGCCTGTCCCAGTATCTCTCTTCACATTTGGGCCCATGATTATATAGTTTACATTCAATTATGACGTAATATCAGAAACACATCTCTTAATGCAATACCAGGGGGGCTAAAGTGGAGAAACAGAACAGTCAGGTCAGGGCTGCAACTAATTTTATGATTATTTTCATTATCAATTAATCTGCTTGATTAACCAAAAACTATTTCTTGCAGCGCCCCAAATGACATCTTCAAAAGACTTGTTTTGTCTAACCAAAGGTGCAAAACCCCCAACGTATCATAACATATATCTAGCTGCAAACTGATAATGTGTAAAGATGTTTTCACTATTATTGCTTGAAAAATTAGTGAAACAATGATTCAATTCAAAATAGTTACTTTTCTGTTGATCAACTAATAATTTAATTTAATTTAATTTAATTGACTAGGGCTAATCGTTACAGCTCTAGCCAGCAGCACTTCAAAAGTTTTCTGACACTGCATTTAAAATACACATCAGTATTCACACCAATAGTAATTACATTAGATTCATGTAGCAGACACATTTTGCTCCCATTCACGGTGATCCAAAACACCTCAAGGAGATCAATTAACCTATCACATGTTGTGTTCTTGTGCCTGTTAACCTCAACTCAGTTTCAGTGCAATCAGTTGAGAGGCTGAAGTGGTTTTGTTACAGGAAAGAACAGAAATCTGTGAGTGAGAGGGAAAAATACTGCTCACTAGTAATTGAAGAAGTATTCAGATCATTTAGTTAAGTAGAAGTCTCACTACCACATGGTAAAAATACTTAATTACAAGTAAAAGTCCTGTGATCAAAACCTACCTAAGTAAAAGTACTTAAGTATCAGCAGCAAAATGTAATAAAAGAATAAAAATCAAAAGTACTCATTATGCAGCAGAATGACTTCTGACACTGTTGTTATGCATTTGATTATTGGATTGTCATCAGTAATGCATAAATGCAAAATGTAGTAATAGGTTATTTTAACTACTTTGAATACTGATGTTTTTTTAAAATCTTATATTGCTGCAATGATCATTTCTTATATGTCAAACTGGCAGTGAAATAAAGTAGTAAAAGCATAAAGTAACAGAAAATGAAAAAAGTAATTTAAAATTGGATTTAAGTGCGGTACTTAATTACATTCCAGTAAAATTAAAGTGTTTCATTAAAACAATTGTTGTAATCTGCGCAGCCCTCTTTTCTGTAAACAAGGTCTAAACTATTCTAGCTCAGATCTAGCTTGCTATCTTTTTTCTGTATGTCTACAGCTTATAGATGCAAGAAAGTACATTAGCGCAGCTTGTGCCTTTGTACTTCATACAATATAACACAATACAGTTTAACAGCACCACAAACAACAACCCCCAAAATGAACAGTTGAATCTGCTCTACTCTTTTTAAAACAGTTTCAACATCATAAAAATTTTACTGCATAGATTTACTGCAGGACTGTTGTGTTAACCTGCGTAGTTTTAGCTACTTGTACCTAATAAACTGACAGCCATAATGAGAATTCTTAGCTCATAAATTTGCTGAATCAATACATTACATTTAGCTTTTTCCTATGCATTTGATTTCTCACTTACTTCTCAGCTGTTAACTATAAAACACAAGGTTGCTGACAAAGTCAGATTTATGCACACATGCTTTGATTTGTGAATAAAATATAATATCAATGTGGGGCTTAAGTATTAGAAAATGACTTTTGAGTTCATTTTTGAGTTTGAGTATTTAAATGTCTTTAAAATCAGGAC